ATAGGATTTCCTGAAAGCGCGCACATGCGCGCTCACGACGCTACGGAAGCCGGCAGACCAAACCAGATGAAAGTGCGCATTCAGCGTCTGCTCTGCCAATAATGCAAGCGTAGAAGAAGAAATGTGCTGTTTACCTGTGTAAAGAAAGAAACAACGAAAGAAAAATGTCTGAGGACTTCAGTGTTGAGGAAGAGCATGAGTTCTTTGCCGAGCTGAATGCGCTGGTTTGGTCTGCCGGCTTCCGTAGCGTCGTGAGCGCGCATGTGCGCGCTTTCAGGAAATCCTATACACTACTGTTTATGCTCTAAAAACATTCTAAATGACTTCGTTTCGAGTAAATTCTGGATGCTACCCACTCAGGACACTTGGAATACATTGGACGAGCAGTATGGAGGAATATTGACACGTTTTTTGTGGACTTTTATGGACCTTTTATGGACCTTTTATGGAGCACAGGAGCACCACAGGGGACGTACGCTCTCCATTTCTTTTGACTCTGTACACCTCTGGCTTCCAGTACCGGACAGAGTCCTTTCATCTAGAGAAATACTAAGATGACTCTGCAATTATTGGGTGAATCAAAGATGGACAAGAAGCTGAGTACAGAGCAGGGGCGAAGCTGGGGGGGCTTTGCCCCTGCTCTGTACTCAGCCACCCTTAGCCAATCATTAGCCACCCCTACCATTTTTTTCCCTCTAATACAGATGGTGGCAGCAGTAATACTCTCAGGTGGAATATTCAAAACATTTAAAATGTTCATATATTGACAATCACTTGACAACAAAAACACTGGTTAATTATGCACATTAAAATACTAACATCAAAGATGATAAGTACAGATTTCATGCTCTTTCCATTACTAGATTTTGTGTTTCATGGGGTAAAGAGAAAATCATATAATCTACATAAATTGAAATAATCAATTTATGTAGATTAATACTCGTAAATAGCAATGTTATCCAGAATGATTGTTGATAAAAGTAGGTAAGTAAAGACAATGGAAAAGATGTTCGCCCCAGTACTCAAACTTGAAAGGATTTTATCCACTATTCCTTTTTTATAGAAAGCACAGATGTTTAAATATATTCATCTATTTGTTAGCAAAGGCTGTAGGAAAGTATAGTTTGTCTTTATTAAGAAAATATGGATGTTTTGCTCATTCATTTTCCTGTTGGAAGAGTGTAGATTGACCCTGAGGTTCTGGTGCCACCCCTCAGTGTACATTGGTTATTGCCTGGCCACCCCAGTAAACATTTTCTGGCTATGCCTCTGGTACAGAGAGCTGGTGAACCACTTTGTGGCATGGTATGGAAACATTCATCTGATCCTGAATGTCAACAAAACAAGGGAGGTGACTGTAGATTTCAAAGGAAAGAGGAACAAGTTAAATCCTGTTTACATCATGGGAGAAGTGCAGATGGCTGAGGAGATAACTACTTTGTTGTTCACCTAAACAGCAACCTATAGAGACACAACTGTGAAGGTGTCTACAAGAAGGGACAGAGCAGATTGTACTTCCTAAGGAAGCTTAAGTCCTTCAGCATTTGCAGCAAGATGCTAGAAGATGCTTCTATAAGCCTGTTGTGGAGAGTTTGATCTCTTCTTCCATTCTCTGCTGGGGTTACAGTAGAGCTAGTGACTTAAAAAAGCTCAACAAGCTAATTAAGAAGGCCGACTTTGTTCTGGGACTTCCTCTGGAACCTCTGGAGATTATTTCACAAAGAAGAATTCTTCATAAAGTGAGGAAATTATTGACAACAGAGAGCATCATCTTCAGAAGATGTCTTCAGTCTTGAGTCAGTGGCTTCTCCAAATCTGGTGCAAGACACACCACTACAGAAGATCCTTCCTGCTTAGAGCTCTCAGAGTAACAAAGTATTTTTGAATTTAATTGAACTTCAGAAAGCAGAAAAAGTTTACATTTATCATTTCATTAATTTTTTAGATTTACACCAAAAACTGAAACACATCTAGATTTTGTTTTACTTTTCTCTATTTCATGTTCATATAATAACAAACCTTCTAAGTTGTATCTACTTTCTCTTAACTCAAATACTTTCTGATCGCCAGGAGGAAGACTTTTGTTCAATGCTTTGTGCCATTGATTCCAGTATTGTTATGCATAGAGCAGGCATCTACAACCTCGGTCCTCGAGGGCCGCTGTCCTGCAGGTTTTAGAGATTTCCTTGCTCCAGCACAGCTGATTTTAATTGAAAGCTGATTAACAGACTTTTGGTCTACTGCGATCATTATAATCAGCTGTGCTAAAGCAGGGAAACCTCTAAAACCTTCAGGACAGCGGCCCTCGAGGACCGAGGTTGGGGATGCCTGGCATAGAGTATTACTTTGAATAAAAAGTTAATTTATTTAGATCATGATATCCCACTTTATTAATAAGCTTTTTTTTGGAACTTAATATATCAAAAGCTGTCTTGATTGCATTTCCCCATATTTCTGAGGAATATGATAAATAAGGCATAACTAACAAAGATATTATGTCCTTTACATTTATTTAGTATTTCATTTTAAACACTTTTCATATAGTTTTTGTAAGTCTTATAAGCTGTTAATTTTAACTCCATTAATATGCAACTTCATTTTATTGTATATCTGGTCAACAGAAAATGCCACAGGTTTGGTTTTATTTTCATTTAAAGATATCTTATTATCAAACCTTTTTTTATTTTATTAACCAGTTCATTTTCTACTAGTTTAACTATTTGTTCCATTTTCTTTTCATAAAGAAATATGTTTGTGTCATCAGTAAACATATATTTCAAAGTACTAGAGTATGGAGCATCATTTAATCATTTTAAGTAAACTTAAAATAATTTAAGCCCTAAAACTGACCTTATATTACAAGTGTGTTTTAACAACATCGGTACAAAATGGCTTATTCAAAAATAGGTTTTGGAATGAAAAAATGGCCCAACCTAGACCAGGATAAGACAGAGATATTCGCTCTCATTCTGCAGGTTTATTGATGGTTCCTAGAATTTCTAAAAGTAGAATGTGTTGGGATCTGGAGCTGTACCACCTTTCTCCAGCAGAGTGCACCGTGGATCCTCCTGAGCTGAGCCTCCAACACACCTGTGGCGCATCTCATCATCAGAGGATCCTCCACTATATAACCTGCCTTCAGACCTTGCCTCAACGCCGCAGTGTTGATCTAGTTTGGTTAGCAACCTGAGCCTAGTAAACCTGAGAATCTTTGCTATCTCTAGTAGAGATAAGATTCTAACTCTTTTCCTTGTTTTTGCCTCACAGGAATCCTGTCTCTCCTTGAAGCTCTGGATGAGCTTAACCTGCTGAGCCTGCCCTCGTGAGCCAAACCTGAAGACTCTTCTGTGGATTCCCCTGCAGCTCTTGGCTAAGAGCTGGAAACCCAAATCAAGGTCTGCCCTCAAAGTCAGAAGTAAGACGCTGAATCAGTTATTGGACTCTGCTGAACAGTCTCTGGACCCAACAGTTACCTCTCTCAAAGAGAAACCCGGATTCCTTCAAGGTATTCCTCAGCAAACTCTAAGACTCATAACTCATCAGTCCCTGTGCTAACTGAACTGTCATCCCTGCAGACTCCAGTGAACCTGCCCCCAGGCCTGAACCAGTTCCAGTGCAATATTCATGTGCTTGTGATAACAATAAACCTTGTTAAACTTTTCATCAGCCTCCGTGTGTGTTCTGCATATTGGGTTTACTCTGTAACCAATCATGACAGAATGGGAGGCAGATCTTTTAGTTATCAGGCTCCTCTCCTGTGGAACCAACTACCAGTTTTAGTATGTGAGGCAGACACCCTGTCTACTTTTAAGACTAGGCTTAAAACTTTCCTTTTTAATAAAGCTTATAGTTAGGGTGGCTCAGGTTATCCTGAGCTATCTCTATAGTTATGCTGCTATAGGGTTAGACTGCTGGAGGACATGGGGACCCATTTTTATAATTTTTCTTCATTCTATCTCTATTCTCTCACTCTGCAGTATTTGCTAGTTCAATCTCTAACATTATGCTCCCTCTGCTTTTTCTCATACTTGATTCCTCTGTTCCTGTTTGGCTGCAACAACATCCTGGAGAGAAATATCAGCTGCGCTGCTGCTATCAACACCTTTGTTTATAGATGTTGGCACTTGGCCTGTTTTCCAGTTTTTTTCTGACAGTGACTGGCTGGATGTGCTCTCTTCATCCTCTGACATGGGAGCTGGCTCGGAGCTCATCTGCCTGGCTGTGTGTTTCTTGGACGGGGCCGCCTGTGGAGCTGGTTGACGGTTACTTTTTGTATCCCATCTTCTTTTTGTTTGTCTGATTATGTCTCCTTGAACCCAAGTCGGCCTCACACTGATCCTGTTAATGCTGGAGGTTTTCCTTTCCAGTAGCACTTCAAGCATGCTTAGTGTGAGGGATTGCTTTCGAGTCAATGATTCGACGCAATCAGCTGGTTTTCCTTAGAAAACGCTTAACCAATCTGACTGTATGATTTGATTGAATTGTCCCTGTAAATTGCCTTGAGTAAATTGGCGGTATATAAATAAACTGAACTGAATTGAATAAATTATGATCCATCTATTAAAAATGAGGAAACTCCTATTGAAAGATAACTTTCATTGGAGACTTAAACCGCATTAGTGGCTAAAGTGGCTACAACTCTGTTGGGTATAACCTGATACAGGCTTTCTACATGCCATTCGGGTAAAAAAAAGAAAAAAAAATTTTTTTTTATATGTCTATTCTTTTTATTCAAATCCAAACCTGAAAGATGTTTAAACTACTACAAGACCTTTTCTTGCTTTTCTTGATAGTGTTAGAACCCCTGAGCTAATTGGTATTTAACGTCCACCAGCCAACGGTTTTACTTTGTGCGCCCAAAAAAAGTTGGAAACATCCAAGACCACCCATTTGCAAAATAACAAATGGAGAACCAAAAAAAGAAACTACCTCTTCAAGAACTTGACCTTGTTCAAACAACTACGAACAAACACGTACAGCATTGAGTAAAAACTAACAAGTTCAGTGGAGATTTTACAAGTAAAACTTTATTGGAATGATACTCATGTTGCAAAATATTACACATGGTGTTTTATGTCATCGTTCCCGTGAGTCTAGATGCTTCCCTTCGCAAGAGCGTTTAGTGTGTGTACGTGTGGCAGGGATAGGTATGGTTTACACTGGCTGGGGAAGAGGGAGGTCTCATTTCCCTAAAAAGTGCAACAATAGGCTCTTATGTACCAGCATTGTGTCTGCAATGACAAGAAGTTGTGTCTGCGACAGTGTGTCAGGGATGCTGCATACTTAACCTGACATGAAGGAACAATCTGAGGATGTTAGTACCAGAAGGCTGGCCATTGATCTTCAGATTTATCAAGAAAAAGCACAAAAACCAACAAAAAAAAAAAGGTTCCAGGAGACTGAAGGTTACAAGGTATGAGAACAATTTTTAACTCAAACTAGAAGCCTTGCATCAAAAATTAAAGAAGCCCCAGATTTATTGTGGAAATGAGTTTCCTACTGTTCAACAAACCGTGATGCATAAAAATAAACAGCAGTGAAGTGCATCATTCACCTATCCCATAACTAGGATTGAGATTTTAGAGTCTTTCCATAAAAGATAAATCATGAGGTAACGATGTTACAGTCTGCAAACATCTGACACACTTATTCTGGTGGTTCTGTTAATACTTTATTAATACTAATAATAATGCAAACCAAAACTTATTTGACTAGGAATTTCACATTAACATCAGCAGATGCACTAAAATGACCATTTATGTGTTAAATGATGGACAAGACTGTGGACAAATACACTTTTATTGCCCCCCCTGGTAAACAAGTGTTAAAAAAAAAAAAAAAAATCCCACTTATATAATAATCTAAAATTTTATTTGAATATTGTTCAAATATTCAAATAGGGGGGGTGGGACAACAGCAGATTGATATAATAGACTTTCTGTGACACAGAACGCCACCTGTAAATGCAGATCTGTGGCCTTTCAGAGCAGTGCAAACAGAAAGCTCACAAGGATACTCTAAAAGACTTTTAGGCTACCTGACTAAAGTACTGTACACTGACCTGAAAACTCATTAATCCATCTCAGATTAATAATAATCAATATTTGAGTCAAAAGTTAAGCAGAGATGTATTTAAAATACAAATCAAATGGAATGTAAACTTTTGGGGTTTAATTTTTAGGAGTTTACAGCTCTGTGGTTCAGGCTGTCATGGCTTCTAGGCGACGGAAGGTACCACCACCTTCTGGAATGGAGGTGTAGCGCAGTTTCCTTAACAACCTCTCCATAAGCCATTAGCCTTATTTCAAAAACATCTGCTGCCTTTGACATGTCTAAAAAAAAAAAAAAATAGATATTATTATTTCAAGACCTTCGATGGAAAATATGAATAAGAATGGGTGAAGTCTTCTCACTGTGAATGCTGCTGTGGTATACAACTGGGGAAAAAACAAATTATTTCTTCACATAGGATCTAATTCCGTAGCGGGTATATTTATTTATCAGTTTTTTTCAAACATCTTTACCAGGGATGGCAACATATTTGTCCATATATATGTCAGTTGTCTTAGATTAATTGAGAGTCAGGACTTCCACTGTATCAGCATGATAAAGTGCTACAACCTACAGTTTCTCTGTATTTAATCCAAATGACTGCAGTTTAAATCTGGGGCTGAATGTAGACAGAGGAAATCTTTAGAGACACATGTGGTTGACGATAAAACAAATCCTTTTTTTTTTGTGAACCTGACTAGTCCACCGGTGTAATTCCTTCATGTTAGGTCATTTCAAACATCACTCAAATTTACAAATGATGCACATAGACTATTAAACTTTGCAAATATGTGTTTAAACCAAAGGCCTATTTTGTTTTCTCATTTCTGATATCATTTGACAAATTTGCGATTCATAACATAAAAATACGATGAGAGGAATTCTTTGTGTCAGTCTAAAGTATTTCACATCCCCGATAAGCTGATAAGATGACATTACAGCCTCATTTCATTTTATCTTACAGCTGACACTAATTATTAAATCCTTTCTGGTCATAATGCTCTGCTTTCAAACTGTTCCAAGCAAAGAGAACCCCGAACACCTGAGGTCATTAACTTCAAATCATCAGATTGTTTACTCTGCACAAAAAATACATTTTAACAAGCTATAGCAAGAGAAACAATCATCAAACATTGTTCTTCTCTGTAAACGCATTTCTAGAGGGGCTACTGATCACAAATTAAAGTTGGATGTTTGTAACAACCCAAGTAATTCAAGCTCACAAAGAGATCAATGCAAATTGCACAGTCTTCAAATTATTTGTTATAAAGTAGAAGGAAAAAGGCAACGAATGAAAACATATAAAGAAAAATGGCAGCTGATTTAGTTGATGCCCTAAGGTTTGTCTTTCTGATGACCCTGACCCTAATTTCAAGACACTTATTATTACCAAACACACTTAGAGACTGGTTCTTTGCATTTTTTCTGACAAAGGATTGAAAAGCATGATCAGAAAAGTTGTCTAAAAGCAAATAACCAATCCTAAAGCACATCTGTGATCATTTAAAATCAGTAAATCCAATGTTTGTTTTTGCTTTTTAACTTAACCACAAGGTCTTTTTTGCAGATTCACTGCGCAAGACTCAACTGCTGAAGGAAAAGCAGAATATTTGGACAAACCACTGAAATGCTGGGGGAATGGTAGCATTTCTAAGAAGAAATGTACCCAAACCTCTTAATAACCCCTGTCATGATATTGCATATTTGCTTTTTTGTTTTAATAGAGGTCATGTTTAAATTCTTAATAATGCTCCTGTTTCTCCTCCCTACACATTTAACACTGGAGCATACACAAATGAATCATATGAGCTAAAAAATTGCCACATTAGCAGCACGTCATGAATGCTCCGCATTTATAGATGGCGCTGCTACAATATTAACTCAGCTTTAGTTTTTACTGTGATTAATCAAACTAATACCTATTTTAACATTTAGAGGCACTCAGAGCAATAAAAGTTCATTCCCAGAGGGCCAGTTGATCATTCTTATAAAAAAAAAAAAGAAAAAAAAGAAATTAAACAAGAAATTTTGAAAAAGTGACATAGCTGCTCATGGGACAGCAGTACAGGGAATTACAGCCCATTGATCTCCACCACAAGCTCAAAAAGAAAGAGCACAAATACTTCAAAGACATGACATAACCTGAGGTTTTGCAAGACAAGCTCACATTTCCTCAAGTTTTCAAAGATATCAGCTTATGCTGCAAAGTAGGGGAAAAAAAGCCATGGGAAAACTTGTGGTACAGAAAGAAATTAGAAAAAGGCAGAAATCTATCAGATTGTCTCAACCAATCACTTGACTTGAGCATAATCTAAAAACTGCAGAGCAGAGAAAACTTTCCAAGAAGAGTTGAAGAAAACTTTCCATCAAAGAAGCCTTCAAATTCCATCAGAGAAATGCAACAGTGACGTCTTAAAATTGTCATCAGTGTCTAAAGCTTTTCCTCTTAATGTTTAATACATTTCAGCTGGATTACAGAGAACCTAATTTATAGACTGCATTGCTTTGATTTCTTTTATGTGCAGATTATTTGGGTTGTTAGCAGCCTCTGGTGTGAGTATTACAGCCATAGCCTGAATGGAAACAAATTTACTCAGGAAAGATGTGTTCAACACTTTTTTTCCCTGCTGTATTATCACCTTGCGGTGTTTCACCCACCTCCGACCTGTTAAGTACAGTACCAATCCTTTATTTGAACAGCAATACACACAAATAAAAAGTAACTTAGCAAAAGTAGGGTGTGATCTAAACCACAGAATGATAATAGAGTGGTGCCGTCCTCCTCTGTGATATGAACAAACAGTGACGGTCAAGATGAAGCACGCGATCCTGACCGCTGTCCGCACACATCGAAGCGCTGACGACCCTCAGCCAGAAGCAGTCAGAGGTCTTCTGTCTCACAGGGTCTCTAAAAGTTAGGGGAGGTGGGGGGTGGGGGACGCGAGCGGTTGTTTCAATTCCCGTGGAATACATGAGCTCTGAAACAGGAAGTACTTTTATCAAAAACCGACCGAATATTCTGGAAGGGATAAGTGTGGAAGACGCCAACTAAAACTCCGAAAATAGTCCCTTTTCTTTTTCCCTTTTGATTTTCTTTTTAAACCACAACTTCAAATTCTCAAATCTATAATCCGAGATTCACCTGCTGATCCTTAGACGTTTATGGAGATAATTGCCTGTTAAGTGATATGTTCAAAACCTGAGTTTCCATTATGTGGTCGGTTTTTCTCCCACACCGTTAAAACTGAGAGAAATCCTCTTTTTTGATTCATATTTCATTGTATGTCAGCGTGATATGATTTCACTGGAGCCACTAAGTACTTACTAACATTTAAAAATGGAGTACGGCAGATATGTACAAAGTTTTTAAATATATATTAACAATAATAAGAGCCGTAGATGGAGTTGCACAATAGATGTACCTGATTTTTTATTTTTTTGTGTCGTCTCTCTTTTAGCCCCTATCGCCTTCTAACTGTTTTCTCTATGAGATGGACGGGAGAAATTAAGAAGCATACAACATGAGGGCATTGATGTGTAGGCATGGTGAATCCTGCTTGGTTTAAACCCATGGCGTCTTTAGCGCACGCTCATGTGACGAATGGCGCGCTGATTGGTCGACGTTTCTTTGCTGTGGCGCGAAAAAAGAACAGGACGGGAATGACTGCAGAGGAGGGAAGATCTGGGGTGAAAATGCGTAGAGGCAACTCTAAGTTAGCGGCGTCCCCCGACACCCATGAAACACAGCGTCATTATAAAGGGATTCATAAATAAGACGACATCAAACTAAATACAACAGAAACGCAACAGAAAAGGCAACACTGCTGGTTATCGGTCTGCTATCTTCTTTTCACACCTCTATGCGATTTTTCCCTTTTTTCGTAGCTGGTGTCCATATTTGGACAGGAGACAGGACGCTTTTCTTCTCTCCTGTTTGACCAGCCTACCTTAGACTTTCCCTATTTCATTCTTTTTTTCTGCTTTAATGCTAGAACTCAGCAAACTCCTTGGCACATTTCTCGTTAAAGGAGACCCGGATCTCCTCCTCTTCGTAGTCGTCAAAGTTGCTGGTATCGCCCGGTCCTTTGAACTTCGGAACAAAAGGAGCTTCCACCTAAAACGGACCAAAGCCGTTAAAAAGGCGCCAACTCAGAATCAAATCGAAGAGTCACAAATGTGTAAAAATCAAAATATAATAAACCTGCAGACCTTTTTCTGGTAAATGGCGATCCAGTCAGTCGTTGCAAACCACTTATGTCCTTTTATGTCGTTGACTCCGTTTTTGAGGTTCCCAAAGCGTTTTGTGAGATCCACCTGAGAAAAAGATCAGCGCATCTTTTCAGATGGCTCCTTATTGTAAATTCTGGATTTCTGAGAGGTTTTCTGTACCTGTAAAAGGTTCCTCAGCAGGTCCTTCAGGTCGGAGCTGAAGTGAGATGGGAAACGCACCTAAAGAACAAGAAGATGCAAGAAGTTACAGCGTCTCTGTCACAAAACCAATCACAATACAACAGGAATGAGTGACAGCTTTATAAGTTAACCGAAAAAATGTAAAACATTTAAAAAAAGGACATCTAAGTTGGTCGATTTTTCTTAAAATAAGAAAAAATTTCATGAATTAAGCAGGTAAGTGAGACACTTTGTCAATGGAATAAGAGAGTGCATCAAGTGCATATTATCCATTTATCTTATTTCTAAAAGTAGAAAATACTCATTCCATTGGTAGAGCTTCTTATTTACCTACTCAAATTATGGGTATATTACATTTCTATAGTTTTTGCAGTAAATTGGACACCAATAAACTGGTTTTAACAATGGGAGGAAAGGTTACAGGTTAAAGACGAAGCCTTGTTGTCTGAAGCTTTTATATCACATTCAAAAACTGATTCTATCATCTAGAGCAGGGGTCTTCAACGTTTTCAAAGCCAAGGACCCCCAAACTGATTGCGAGATGGAGCGGGGACCCCCTAATTATATACATTGTATGAAATTGTGTTATATCAAACTGGTCCTATAGTCACTCTATTACATATGGAGTCATGTAATGAAAGTAATTACTCCCTGGGATTATTAAAGTATTTCTGAATCTGATTCCTGGTTGATGGGACAGGTGTTGTGAATGAAACGGTGCCCAGGTTTGAAAGAGCTCCTGTGTGTCGCTGAATGTGTGCAATCGACTGAAAGACATCTTCTGCTTTCATTTATCTGTTTACTACAGTGTGTTGAATTCATGTTAATGTGTATTTAAAGACATTTTAATTAGTGCAAAAAATTGCAGGAGGGAACATAAAAAAAAGTAATCAACCAAGACTTTCGCGACCCCCATGCAGTACCTCCGCGGACCCCCTAGGGGTCGCAGACTCCCTGTTGAAGACCTCTGATCTAGATCTAGTTCTCAGTGGGAGTCCAAAACCCCTTGAGGGTCACAAGCAGAATTGTCAAGTAACTAATTATAAATACTCACTAAGTAGCTTAATATGCACCTAAGTAGCTTATTTTGGTATCTATACTTTATTTGAATATTTACTTTTCTGAGGAATTTTTAATTTCACTCACTACATTTACACACAATCTGTACTTTCTACTCCTTACTTTCTACATTTATACATATTGATAAAGATATGACATAAAAGCTGCATGGATATGAGGGATCAGATTCTGAGACGTGAGACATCCCGTCTATCCCCCTTAAGAAGACTTTTACATTTACATGTTGATTATGTTTCAAAATCTATGTCAGTCTTAATGTTATTTGCAGCCAAATGTAATGAGCTGCTTATGCAGGACTTCTGTTCAGTTCTGTCTTTATTATCCTGTCTGAAATCCTAATTTAGAACAAAACTAGCTTAACTCTGTATTATCTGTGTTTTCTCTACCAGCACAGTGAGCAGAAGTGGAAAATAACCACTTTTCTGTGCAAAGAAATGTTTTTTTATTGGAAGAGTTTGTAAGTTATTTTGCACCATTTTGGGTGAATACTTACACATTTGACTTTGAACTGAAGAACACTGTAGGATCTATACTTTTTTTTTTTACATTTACTTAGGTAAAGGATTTCAGTCAGTACTTTTACGACACTCTTGTTTATTAAACAGGTATCTGTACTTTTATTTAAATAAAGAATATGAATGCTTTTGACACCAAATGAAGGGTCACAAGAATAATATATGAATGACTGTAATGTGACCCCTGCAGTGTATGGAGACCCATAAGGGACAAGGGGATTTAAATTAATAAAATGAACAGATTGTGAAATAAAGGAAATTTACTATTATTAATTACATTATTAAACTAACACAGTGCTCCTTCCGCCCCTGTTAAGCTTAATTTAAGATGCATTAAATGATTGTTTAGATCAAATATCACTTACTTTTCTTTGTAATTCATGACTTCTCAATGTGCTGATTTAAAGTGGTCTGCTAGCAGATTTCCAATCATGGGGGGGGGTTAATTATTCTAAATTGAGGTATTGCCAGTTGTTTTAGACTTAGACAGATTTATTTTGTCATTTTGTATACACAAGTGTAAACAAAAAGAAATTTCGTTAGGAACAGCTCTAGACAATTTCATTTTTTAAAGTGCAGCCTAAATAAGGGGACTAAAGCTGGAGGTCAAATTCCCCTGTTTGATAGAAGTTACACAGCATCTCTTTAAAGATATAAATATATCCCTAAATTGTAAAATGTATAATTAAATGGTTACATATGCAGCGGGTGAAATAAGTATTGAACACGGCACAATTTTTCTCAGTAAATATATTTCTAGAGGTGGTATTGACATGACATTTTCATCAGATGTCTGTAACAATCCATGGCATCCATACATAGAAAGACATCAAACCATGATTGTTGAAAAATTAAGTTGTGTCATAAAGTGAAATGTCACAGGGAAAAAGTGTTGAACATGTGAAGAAAGGGAGAAAAGGGTGAAGCTAAAATCTCTCAGTAAATAGAAAGCAATACTGCCCCTTAGTGCAAATTAATATCAGCTGTTTCCATCCCAAATGATGGCCTATAAAAAGGTGTCTCTGGTATCACACAAGAAACACCTCAGCATGTTTTATAGTAAGTGATTTATTAAATATCTCATTTTAAATATAAAGGTTGTTTTTATATATATTATGTATTTCTGTTGTTGAGGGTATTAACAAGATGTATCACAATAAGTAAATGTAGAAAAAATAGTTCATAAAGTTAAGATTAATTCTAGAAGCACTAACAGTTTGATGATTGTGTCATCATTAGTGTCCAAAGTGTGTTGTAAAGTTCGATTTAATAAAACATCATAGTTTAGACTGAATAGCGACTACAAAATATGAGATCCATTTCTGATCCAGTTCATCTCGATATAAGTAATATATATAGTTTGCATATATTGTGAGGTGAAAAGATAAAATTGAGCTGTTCAGACTGTGTACCTCAAATACGATCACTGGAGGGATGAAAGGGAACCTTGATAGCCTAGAATCTATTGAACCAAATCCTGAAAACATGGATCATTTGCAAACGGGATATTGCCAAAATTGATATCGAGATCAGGATTGTAATTCAATATATTAATATGTAACGGTAAAGGGCTTTTAAAAGTTAAACGACAAACTGGAAATGATGATTTCCATATATAAAAAGTGCCACTCTTATGTGGGATTATGCATTAAAACAGAAATGATCAAAACATTGCATGATTTAATCAAATAGGAGCTTAGAAATGATGCAATATCAAACATTTGGATTTTTTTTGCTTCCCAATGTGTGAAACATTCACATAGTGTAGAAGAAATCCCTGCAAATAAATGTTTTATAAAATAAACAAGGGAATTACAGATAGTATATCTTTTTTTAATATGTAAAAAAAAAAAGATAAAACTGGCAAAGCCTCTTTTAAGTCAAATAAACCCAATATTTTAAGTGTACGAGCTAAGTGATAAGTGAGTGAAACTCACCTTCCCTGATACAATCTTTTCATAAATTTGAATCGGCTGATCGGCAAAGAAAGGAGGATACCCCGCTGCCATCTCATAGACCAGAACACCCAGCGCCCACCAGTCCACTGCCTTGTTGTATCCCTGCCGGTGGAAACAAATCATCAGATTTCTAGGTTATAAGAGGTGCAGCAGATTAAATATGGACATTTTCCAACTATACTTGCTGTTTCGAGAATCATTTGCATTGTAGGTCTTGTTAGAAGCATACCAAAAAACAATCCTCTATCTATTGTCATATTTTAGCTTGAAATGTATCTGGATTAAATTAAGTCAAACTATTAAAGCTCAAGGTTTGTTTAGGGTTAATTGGGTCGGATTTGTTTAGTGTTATTTGGATGTTGACAAAAAACTGTGTTTCCCTTTAGGTTTTAAGTAAAAAACAAAAGAGAGAAGTTAGATCACCTTGCTGAGAATGATCTCTGGAGCCAGATATTCTGGGGTGCCACACAGTGTCCAGGTCCGGCCCTTCACCCGTTTGGCAAAGCCAAAATCTGTAACCTGAGTGGGAAGGAAAGACAGAAAGGATTTTTTTTTTTTTTTTTTTTAAACACTTTATGGACCACAGCTAACAGAAATAAAATGCAGAGGGAAAAAAATGATGCTGTAATTTCACATATAACCACAAGGTGGTGACACAACCTCTACAGAACGTGATAAACATATTCTGATCTTTTGCAGACTACAGATTCAGGATTTTTTTTTCCTATGTAGAATGGATCATCTTAAAACCCTTTTAATCTCAGTTTTGCTTTATTAGATATCCTTTTGTGTCATGTTGATAAAAAAGGAATTTAGCAAAAAAAGAAAAGAAAAAAAACTATCCTTTCATCAAGGCCAAAAAACTGCAGTAAAATCTCCCCTCTAAATTTGTATCAGTTTATCTTTTTTCATCAAAATCATTTTGCATTGCTTTACAAATAAATTCCGATCCTTAAGAGACTGGAATAACCAACAGTATGGGAATTAGTTAGTGAGTAAAAAAGCTATGATTAATTATTTAAATTAGGGTAGGAGCTGAAAATAGAGTGAAAGAGTCAGAGGTCTGAGTGTAAGCTTAAAGAGCATTAGAAGACATTCCCAGGAGACAGGTATCTAGAGGGATGTTTACAGCTACAGCACAATAATAAATTAAAAAGAACAGATTTTAACTTTAAATTCTTCTCTAAATTCCAGATGGAGGCATTTTATAAAAGCAATTTATTTTTTCAGATGAGGGTTAAATGATTTTTGATAGCTGGACTTTAACCAGTCATACATGTAGAGACAATTATTTGTGGCTTGTTAATTTAATGTTTTTGATTCAAAAATTAAAAAGCCCATTCTACAATTATTTGCACCCCTAAAGAAGACGAATAAAAATCTTTGAAATACGTCAACCTTCTATGTCAGCTCCTGTATTCTCCTCACAAACAGGAAACGGTTGAATCAGGTTTGCTAACCTGTATGTAGCCCTGTTGGTCTATGAGCAAGTTTTCAGGTTTCAAGTCTCTGTAGATCAGGTCCAAAGCGTGCAGGTACTCGAAGGTCAACACAATCTGAGCAGCATAGAAACGAGCATGTGGCTCACTGTGGGCACAGAAAAACACATGAAACACCCCAAAAAAATTGTTATGGGAATCACCAGGAGCTACTTCCTGCTGCAAACCCTGATGCTTATAGACACTGACCTGAATCTGCCAATTCTCCGCAGGTGGGAGAACATCTCTCCACCTGGAACATATTCCATGATCATGTAAAGGTTGGTGTTGTCCTGGATGGAGAAAAATATTATTAGAAACCCTCTCTTATACACAAATACAAAAACATACAATAATTTAGTCTGAGGATTAGGCTTGTTCCATTCTAACATTAGTGGGATCTTGCTAATGTTTGCTTTCTAACTCCCTCTTAGGAACTGAAATACACAAAGCGAGGAAATGGTCTGAAAACATGCTACCAGGTTTGAAGGTGAAGTCTGGCCACTGCTCATTTAGTCTCTTTAATGCTCAAAAATGTGATATGAAAGCCTCTTAAGAGTAAAACACAAAACAAAATAACCCAGTCCCTTTTTTTAGACGAATGAAAACGGTTTTAATGATCTCAGAATGAGTTCGGCGGCATTGATTTGTGCTCATTGGTGCCACTTCTATCTGTGTGCAGAACAGCACACATGGACCGTTAATAGGTTTATTTAAGGCCTCTAGGATACTGACCGCCTGCCCAGCCAGGTGCATCTTAACAGCTTAACCTGAGTAAGGACATAATTGAAGTACGGCCCTCATCTGGGTTAGTGTGCACAGGCACAAAGTGCCGCTGACACCTGTTCATGTGGCGCACGAAGCCAAATTGACTGTATTCTATGGAAGCAGGGTTTACAGTGAAGAAAGGAGGGATAAAAACAAAAAGAACCTCACAGGAGACCCTGCTGACAAGATGGTAGCAGGGTTAAAAAGATTTTTCTGACATCTTGGTTGTTTAATCTTTAAAATAGCTCAATAAATACTAGAAAATCCAAAATATTCATGCTTAGAGAGACATAGATATCAGTAAAAGTAAATTCAATTCTGTGATAAATGGAGGTTATTTGTGCCTAAAAGTGAAGATCAATGGATTTGTGTTCATGGCAGTTTGCAGTTTTGTCAGAGATCTCTAAAGACACACTCTTTGGTGGTGAGCTTGAAGTCTTTAAGGCTTGGATTATTTCCTTTCTATTCTGTCCTTTTTTTTTTGCCCCGTCCACAGATTGGATTCAAATCAGGATTAAGTGTTAAAATCATTTTAAGTTGGAAACATCTCTGTGTAAATCACTCAAAGATTGCTAAATCTGAAATATTTTTTACTGATATTTCACATAATTTTCCAATATTTCAAATAGTTCAATTGGAAAGCTGTTGCGTACTTAATAAAATATCAGTCCGTAAAAATTAAAAAAATATCCACTGGACTTGGTTTTCAAGATTTGAAGACGTTTCGCCACCTCTCCAGGAAGCTTTCTCAATTCAAATGTCTGGATCCGCAGTGAGTTTGAGTCTTATATAGACAAAGCCTTGTATCGCTTGGAAACATGCAAATGGCCCATTTGCATGTTTTGAATTGAGAAAGCTTCCTGGAGAGGTGGCGAAACGTCTTCAAATCTTGGAAACCAAGTCCAGTGGATATTTTTTGAATTTTTACGGAATGACTGACCTGGATGACTGAGAACCTTCATCAGCAATAAAAGATCAGCTACCTATTACAGAAATTTCAACATTCATCCATTTTCTTCCACTTTATCCGAGGTCACGGAGGCAGCAGTCTAAGCAGAGATGCCCAGACTTCCCGATCCACACACACCTCCTCCAGCTGCTCTGGAGGGACCCAACGGTGACACCAGGCCAGCTAAGAGACCACAAGGCCTCCTCCCAATAGGACATGCCTGGAACACCTCCCCAGGACGCATCTGAAAGAGATGCCCGAGCCACCTCAGCTGGCTCCTTTCAAGGTGGAGGAGCAACGACTCTACTCCAAGCTCCTCCCAGGTAACATTTCAACAATACTAATAAATAAAAATTTAAGCAATTATTGAAATAACTCTGCCTATCATATGTTTATGCAAATATTTAATGATATCTTCAAAAAATAATATCCCTTCATTAAATTATGCAGAGATATAAAAAAAAAACAAAAAAAAAACACCAAATCTATGGTTTTCAAAAAATCCCAAAAAGCACAATGAGAAATGGGTTCATGCATGCTCTTACACCCGTCTGACAGGCTTTCCCTCTAAGGAGCAGGTACAAGGTTGTGCATGTGCATTTTTTTTTTTAAGTGGAGTGGGCGGGCCTTATAAAGAATTCAGTGAAAATCCTAAACTATGCCTTTAATAAAAAAATAAGCTGTACAAAAAGTCTCTATTATCTCATACACCTTTAAAACTGTCAACATATAAATTGTATAAATAAAAATAGAATAATCTTCTGAGGGTTGCTGAGAAAAAAACACTACAGTGAAAAAAATGAATTAACATCTTTTAAGTAAATTTGATCCTTTAAAATAGCCATAAACCTTTTCAGATGGAAGTTTTTATGGATCCTTTCAATATTGCTTGCAAGTTTAAGATTTTTATTTCTCAAATGTTGGTGGTTCTCTGGTAAAAAAAAAAATTGCCTCCTCAAACATAAACCCGGTAGATTGTATAGAAAGGTACATTTTCTTTTGTTGGAATATTTGAACCACTATTTCTTATGTGGTTCAGATAATCATTGTTGGTCTTCAGCTTTCTGCTTCTGGTCATGATGGTATTCTGTAAGTACTTCTGTTGTTAAATGGCCCACTCTATCAATATCTGTACTACTTATATATTTTCATTGTCTCTGGTATTGTTTCCTCAGATTAAAAATTTGCTTTGTTTAAAACTGGTGATCCAGGACTATTTTCAAATTATCGCCCTATTTCACGTTTGCCACGTTGGAAAAACTTGTATATAAAAGACTTAATAATCACTTGCTTAAAAATTCTACTATATTTCATACAATTATCAATGTGTTTTTCAGGAAAAAAAAAAAAAAACATTCTACGTGTATAGCCCTGATTGAACTAATAGGAGTTCATTCAGCTTTAGACAACAAAGAATTTGGAATTTGTGTGTTTTCAGACCTTTCCAAAGCATTTGATGCCATAAATCATGACATTTACTTTCTAGGTTGTATAGATAATGGTTTAAAGCTACTATACAAAACTGAGTAAACAATTATTTATTAGAAAGAAAGCAATACATTCATCTAAATGTTGATTCAGAAGTTAATTCGATTTCATTTTTCTGTTTTCATTCGGTTCCATTTTGGGGCCTCTATTATTCATAACCTATATGAATAATTTTGCGTCTCTTTCCACAACTGATCTCTTTCCATTGCTGTTTGCTTAAGACACTAATCTCTTTATCTCCAGCAGCAATATGGAGAATCTGATGAACAGCCTTAATTATGACCTTCTGAATTATTGTAAGTGGTTCAAAGCCAACAAAGGATCTTTAAATGTAAATAAATCTTGTCTTATGCTATTTGCTGGCAACAAAAAAAAGTTATTATTGACAATGAAGAACTATCAAGGGTTAATCTGGAAACTCAGTAAATGTTGATTGCTTAATTTAATTCTATGATTTAAAATAAGTATCTGCAGTTTCTAGGAAATACACATAAAGGCGGACATTTAGACATGATAAAGTAATTTCCGAAGTTAAAACATTTTATATAAAAGCCTGTTTCACTGTCATATAGGGATTAATTAAAGCCCTTACAGAATAAATTGGTTATCCAGTATACTATTATTCAATCATCTTATCAGGAGAGCAGCATGGATCTAAATGGGCGGGTCAGCAGCAGGATCGTCAGGCCCTATAAGATTTGCACTTTTCCAAAAAAAACTCACATATATATTTGTTTCACCAAGCAGCAGCACACAAATTTACAAGTGAACTCATCTGCATATAAAAAGGTGAGTGGAAGCCACAGCACAGAGCTGCACTGTGCAGAAACAGCCCAGACTTTCACAACAAGAGCTGTCTGAGTTTGAATCAAACTCAGACAGCTCACGTGGATAATTATAAACACAGCATGAAGTGGATAACAGAGAGCAGCCATCTTGTTTTTAGCTAATTTTTCAATGGAATGTTAACATATTCTTCAGGACTGTTTTACAAAAAAGAAGTGGAATCGCCATTTATGAAGCAAATGATGACATTTATGTCAAAAAGAAAATTATGAGTTAGACCGGACTAAACCAGAACTTAACTCCCAGCCACCATGACATATAAACAACAACGACATTAGACCTACCTTAAATGAATACTCTAACCGCACCAGAAAAGGGAAGCTGACTGCCTGGAGGATCCTCTTCTCATTTAGGGTGTGCTCTATCTGCTTGAGCTTCACCACCTGAAAGTCAAACCCAGGGAAACACAGTATATAACAAAGGTTATATTTTATCACTTAAAAGACTGCTGAGATTTAAAACATCTATTAATATAAACAACTAATAAGAAGAGCAGCCTAACATCCTCTGACAGTTAATCTATTTACTGCCCCCCTTTTAACACTTGGAAATACATCTTTAACCACTGAATGCTACACTATGCATTCACTATATTACTATATTTTTAATTCAGTAGAGGAGAAACTTCATACTGGATTTATTAGAAGAAGACAACTTGATCTTGGGGAAACGGAATCACAATTTTCACAAAGGTTTCACCAATCAGAAACTACAACTTAAAGGCTAAAACCATGCTTTTAAAGGAGTATAAGGAGATCTTTTGGTGTAAGCACTTAAAAACAATCACAACACCTCTTTAAATTTTTCATCAAAGTAAAATCCATATCATGAAAAGTAACTTCGTCATACCAGCGTAGGCTACTGTTAGTCCTGGAAACAAATTTAAGCCTATGAGCTTCACAGACACATTCTGCATTTAACACTCTTATTTTGAAGAAACAAAGGAAGCTGTTAATAAATGCAATGTTGTGGCTAAACTGTCTCATTGAGCTGAATCACATTATGAGGAACTTGGCTAAAAAAAAGAAACAGAAACGATGTCAGATTAAACATACAGGTGCTGGTCATAAAATTAGAATATCATGAAAAAGTAGATTGATTTCAGTAATTCCATTTAAAAAGTGAAACTTGTATATTATATTCATACATTACATACAAACTCATATATTTCAGATGTTTATTTTGTTTAATTTTGATGATTACAAATGACAACAAATGAAAGTCTCAAATTCATCATATCAGAAAATTAGAATATTACTGAAGACCAATAAAAACAAAGGATTTATAGAAATGTTGGCCAACTGAAAAGTATGAACATGAAAAGTATGAGCATGTACAGCACTCAGTATTTAGTTGGGCCTCCTTTGGCCTGTATTACTGCAGCAATGCGGCGTGGCATGGAGTCGATCAGTCTGTGGCACTGCTCAGGTGTTATGATAGCCCAGGTTGCTCTAATAGTGGCTTTTAGCTCTTCTGAATTGTTGGGTCTGGTGTATTGCATCTTCTTCTTCACAATACCCCATAGATTTTCTATGGGGTTAAGGTCAGGAGAGTTTGCTGGCCAATTAAGAACAGGGATACCATGGTCCTTCAACCAGGTACTGGTAGCTTTGGCACTGTGTGCAGGTGCCAAGTCCTGTTGGAAAATGAAATCTGCATCTCCAAAAAGTTGGTCAGCTGCAGGAAGCATGAAGTGCTCTAAAACTTCCTGGTATGTGGCTGCGTTGACCCTGGACCTCAGAAAACACAATGGACTAGGGCTGCAACTAACGATTATTTTGAAAATCGATGAATCGGCCGATTATTTTTTCGATTAATCGGACACAAAATATTTTTTTTATATTAACCTCTTTATTCCAAAATAAACATTTTAGACAGAACAAACAAGCACACAAGTACAGGTTGCTCATTAACTGTACTGGTGCTATATGAAAAATTAAATGTTTGTTTTAAAACTACGCAAACTTACATGAGAAATGTAGCTGTACATCCAGAAAATATAGGGTACTTTGTTTCATAAAGCGCAAAAAGAGACATTTTTGTTTTTTAAAGCCCCTAAGGGGTTCAAACAATAGGCCCCCCCCATTTCAACAAATGAGGTTTTTTTAGACTAGAAGAGTTCTGCCTTTTAAGACAGGAAAGTATAGCAGTTAAAGTTGCTACTTGAGAAAATACTGAACCATAGAGATAAAAATAGCCCTGTGATTCAAATTATAAATTGTATTTGGAATAAAAATGAGAGAAGTAGGGGTGCTAAAAAACACGTCCTCCAAAGACAGATATTTACATGGGAATGTGGCAGATAATTAATTGACATATTACTGATCTTGCTGGATTTTATTCTGCTTTACTTCCATAAATTGCAGGATGTTCTTTACTTTATCTTTGCCAGAAGATTTAAACTTTAAAAGCCTTGCCCTCATAATTTGCAAGTTAATTTATTTATAAAGAAAATATAAACGCTGCTTAAGCTAATTCAAATGAAATTAAAAGTAAAATAAGTAGCCAACCTTATCACTGTCTGTAACCTACTAACAAGCTAAGGAAAGCATCAGATGAGCTACCTGAGAAACTAACGTTACGTTTCCCCACTTTAAAATGAAACAAACATGGTTACTCATCCTGCTGATCAGCTCTCTTCACTGCCATTGAAGGCTCCAACATGTTTTCTTTTCAGGTGCTGCGTCATAACAGTGGTGCTTCCGTGCCATGTTTATTTGTCTTTACAAAAGTTGCATGTTACGACTTTTTTCACTTTACAAAGGCTATTTTAATTATTGTGATCAATTTGCGCCGTCAATCCCGGGGCATGCGCGCTTCATTTGCAGTCTGGACGCTGAGGGTAAACTCCTCACTAAAATCCTGCGGCTCGGACTGCAGCGCTGAGAGGGATTCTTGTGGGAGAGGGAGAAAGGCGTTGGGATGGGGGAGGCGCCCCACGGCAGCAGCTGCCGCTGGAGGACAAGAGTAGGAACGATACATGCTTTCACGTAAGAGTCTCCAAAAGCCGCCAGTGACACCGTAAAAAGTCGCCAGATTTGTCGCTAGTCGCTTTTTAAAAAAATAGTCGCTGGAGAGGTCTGAAAAGTCGCTGAGTTGGCAACACTGCAACTGCGGCGCTGACTCGCTCCGCCATATTTTTTTTTCTTCCCCGGGATGACGGCGGCGGCGGATGACGCATTAATCGCGCGACACAACTAATCGATGATTAAATTCGTTGCCAACGCTTTTAAAAGTCGATTTTTATCGATTTTATCGATTCGTTGTTGCAGCCCTACAATGGACCAACACCAGCAGATGACATGGCACCCCAAACCATCACTGACTGTGGAAACTTTACACTGGACTTCAAGCAACGTGGATGAAGTGCCTCTCTTCTTTTCCTCCAGACTCTGGGACCTTGATTTCCAAAGGAAATGCAAAATTTACTTTCATCAGAGAACATGACTTTGGACCACTCACCAGCAGTCCAGTCCTGTTTCTCTTTAGCCCAGGCAAGACGCTTCTGACGCTGTCTGTGGTTCAAGAGTGGCTTGACACAAGGAATGCGACAGCAGAAACCCATGTCTTTCATACGTCTGTGTGTGGTGGTTCTTGAAGCACTCACTCCAGCTGCAGTCCACTCTTTGTGAATCTCCCCCACATTTTTGAATGGGTTTTGTTTCACAATCCTCTCCAGGGTGCGGTTATCTCTCTTGGTTGTACACTTTTTTCGACCACATCTTTTCCTTCCCTTCGCCTCTCTATTAATGTGCTTGGACACTGAGCTCTGTGAACAGCCAGCCTCTTTAGCGATGACCTTTTGTGTCTTGCCCTCCTTGTGCAAGGTGTCGATGGTCGTCTTTTGGACAACTGTCAAGTCAGCAGTCTTCCCCATGATTGTGTAGCCTATAGAACTAGACTGAAAGACCATTTAAAGGCTTTTGCAGGTGGTTTGAGTTAATTAGCTGATTAGAGTGTGGCACCAGGGGCCATCAATTTTGAACCTTTTCACAATATTCTAATTTTCTGATATGATGAATTTGAGATTTTCATTTGTTGTCATTTGTAATCATCAAAATTAAACAAAATAAACATCTGAAATATATGAGTTTGTATGTAATGTATGAATATAATATACAAGTTTCACTTTTTAAATGGAATTACTGAAATCAATCTACTTTTTCATGATATTCTAATTTTATGACCAGCACCTGTAGGTGATTTGTAAGGACTGTGAGATTATCATCACTGCTAACAGTGCTAGTCTTAGCACCTGCTTTGTAGCGTTCTTGGCTTGTTTCAAGTTTTGTATAAATTATAAGCTGCATTTGTTTCCTAGTTTAAAATCTAAAAATAATGTGGTTGATCAAATCTCATGTGAATGATTAGAAATAGGGATCCCTCAAACTACAATTTTACTATGCTGGGGAAGATTCTCAGTCCTCCAGGTCATAGTCAATCCAAAAAACTTCAAAAACAATCCACTGGACTTCATTTCAAAGTTTGAAGACGTTTCGCTTCCCATCCAGGAAGCTTTTTCAATTCAAAACGTCAGAATTAGCGTTGAGTACGAAGCTTTATATAGTAGCAGTAGCAGTAGAAAACATGCAAATTCAACCAGAAGAACGTGTCCACCCCATAGGAATGGCTGTTTTTTTTGGGGTTCTTTTTTTGCAAGAACCCAAGTTTTATGTTTTCCTTTCGTGTTAACATTATGGTACATAGTACTTAATCTAAAGAAAGAAACAACTAAAATGCAGATAAAAATGGTTTAATCATGTTTTGCTGGACTGCTCTGAGCATGTCCTATCATGACGTCAGTCAAGCAGTTAAACAGAATGTAAAACGCATCAAAGTACCTAAGAAAAGTCATAAAACATTTTTTAAAGGTGTGTATTATTATACTTTGGTGATTTAAGAGTAGAAATAAGCCCTTTTAGTACCAGAATTATATTATTTCTGACGACCTGGGTGAATATCTGCTTACACATGTGCAAATCGGGCAGTGACACCCCAAGTCAGTGGAGCTGAAAATGCATAATGTTGGAACCAATATCCGTACAGGATCTTTGCTTTCTGGACCTGGATTATTCGAATTTGGGCCTTACTAAATTCTCACTAAAAAGAAAAGTACTTTTGGTCATAACACCATGATTAAAACTAAATCGAGACAAGTTGTCCAAATTAAACCTCATTGGTACCTTGTTTTTATAGCATATCTGCAGTAGCAGACCTTTAGACCACCATTATTAATTTTAGCTCAGTCTTAAAGATACTGTAACATCCTGACCTACCTGTGGTTTTCCTGCATGAAAATCTGTTGTCTTTTGAATTAATATTTATTTATATTATCTATGTTCCATGTCTTTTGTCCTATTTAATGCATTAGTATGACAATTATGAATTAAACAAATAAATGATTACCAAAAATATTGAGAGAAGGAAGCTAAAACTAGGGCAATAAATAACAGTGTCAGCCTGCTAAACTCTAAGACAGTATTTTCAGATCTAAATCTGCCAGCATATGAATTATTCTGGCCGTAGTTGTATCTGAACAAACCACCTGTAGAATAAATCAGGCCAGGTCTGCATGGTTCATACAATATGGTTGTCATGTTTTCCCCATTATAAAGTGCCCTAAATGACATTACATACACTGAAAATGCTGATTTTATATTTAGAAAAAAGTTTCAAAATCCAGTATAGATTTTTACGGGTTGAAATACATGAGATTTTTATCAAGAATTATTCAAATGCAGTCGAAATGACCAGAGATAAAATATTAAACAGTTCTTTATTTTACCCCTGAAGGGAAGTTCTAACTCAGAAGTCAACTTCTGCATCATTAATCGGATTCTGTCTCCTGCAAAATCCCATCCGTGCTTGCCATCTGTTTGGATCTTGTCCAAAACGAAACCCTTTATTTAACCAATTAACCCATAAACACATGCAAAGTAAACAATTACAAAGCCGTGAGGGTGTCTTAAAAAGCCCAAAACATACTTCCTCTCTTATTCTAACCTAAGACTCTCATTACCAAAACAAATATGGTCAAAGTACTTCCTTCTATCTAAGGTCCAGGATAGTAGATTACATTTATTCCCCAAGGTAAAGTTGAACAAACAACAACTCTAAAGTAGTTACAGACACACCCCTTAATGAAAATGACTGCCTATTGAAATACTGAACATCTGCTTATTCATACAGTACAGATATTTCTTAGATTGTTTTAAATAAAAGCAACAAGCAGACAATCAACGTCTACCAAGGTCGGCCAAACACTTAATGTTTTAAAATCAATATAGGCCACATAAAAAAAACACTTCACTGACAATCACGTTAAATAGACAATATCATTTCATGTATTAGAAAAGAAATATCCTTTATTGAAGTCTAAAATCTCATTTTAAATTATATTTGTTTATGGAATACTAAGATTTTCAGTTGGAAGTATTTAAAATATGGCCTCAGTATAGGATAAAAATTAATCAAACTGGCGTCTAAAATGACTTGTGATGACTAGACCTTCATAATCATACAGTTTCGTTGTCAGAGGAGAAATGTAGGCGGAACTTTATACTTAATTGCTCCACTTGCTGTAGCCTTCATACAGAAAAAACATCACTGGATGGTGCTTATTTTAGCACAAGTGAATGAAGAAGCCTGCAACTGTATTTGAAGCCCTCAGAAATGAAACCCATACAAATCCACTCAGTGAATCCCATAAGCAACAGGTGAGAACATTAAACAGAAGCATCTGCAGATGAATAGAACACTTTTAAACAGCCCTAATTTCCCTGCGACCTGGACGATCCCCTTGGTGATACTGACCTTCTGCTTATTGAGGATCTTCATGGCGTAATGCTGTCCCGTTTCTCTGTGCTTCACCAGCATGACGCGGCCAAATGAGCCCGTACCCAAGGTTTTCAACCTCTCAAACTGCTCCAGGCTAGCAGTGTTCTGAGCACATGGAAGACAGAAAGAATTAGCAAAAAGAAAACACACAAAAAGACATTATTTCTTCTAGGCATCAAAAGCTTTTATTTTTGTTTATTTCAGCAAAAATAATAATTCTAATTACAATCCACTGTTGATTGAGCATCAAAAATCAATTTCTTGGACATTTTTGTGATTGGACATCTTGCAATTTATAGAATATCATTAAGGAGGAACTTTTTAACTGAGACTTTATCTCACTTAAAGGACTATTTATAACCAATTTTTAACCATTTAAAAGACACTTAACTTTTCATTTAATGTTTTAGTAAAGCTATAGATATCATACACCATAACAAGAATTGGGCCGTTTTTTTTTTTTAGCTCTAGTGACCCAGAAGCCCCAAAACCTGGTCAATAAACGCAGCATACCTGAGCTCAACTACTGATAAAAATACTCCTTGATGTCGATATTTTCACTGAGCTAAGACGATATTTGGATAGAAGATCTAAAGTGAGAGTAAAGTGTTGCCTGACTTAGATAGAAGGTGATTATACTATGTTAATTGGACCTGCAACTAACGTTTATTTTGCAAATCAATTAATCTGTTGACTATTTATTTTTTTTCGATTAATCAATTAATAATCGGAAAGCAAAAGGTTCCTTAAAGAAGATTTTTAACAAAATGAAACCAGATGAAACAAACTTTTCCACTTAAGGAATTTTGGATAGAGCATTTTGGCAGATGAAAAAGTTTTTTGGTTTTTTTTATCTTGATTTTATCTACATTTTTAAGTATTTTTCTTACTTGCTGCTCAATGTGGGTCCCTGTCAGCTAAAAGCATGTTTTACAGTCTCTATACTCCAGTTAACGATTAATGGATCAATCACAATTCATCCGGTTATTTGTTTCAGCCCTAATGTTAATCTAAAGAAACTTTATTTCCTATGAAAACATTAACTACATTGAGGTTGCTACGACAACGGGCCAGAATTCATTTTCTAGAATTTACTTTTTTATACTTTCAAGCACTTTGAGGAGAATAGAATTCTCCGTGTTTTTTACCATCACAATAAGAACTGCATTAAACAATTATTTTTCCAATCAATCTAATTAATTTTTTTAATATTGATTGTTTAATAATAGAATAACAAAAGGCGCCTTATAGAAGATTTAATACTATATGGATTGAGCATTTTCACAGACTAAAAGCATTCTTTAATAAAAGATGTTCATATAGATTTTTTAATACAATTTGTTCATGATCCCTGCTCTAAATGGGCTGCTCTTGTGTTAGCATCTGTATACTGTGTTAATAATTAAGAAATTAGTTGACAATTATTTTAATAATATAGTGATCATGATTAAATCTATTAATTGTTGGAGCCCTAATTAGAATTTTGTCAATTTTTATCTATGCTACTGGAGAAAGGATAAATAATCTCTGCACACATCTTTCCTAAGGTGATGGCATTATACTCTTCCGGAATGTCTAACCATCTAGAATCCTGGCAGAGCATAGGTAGAGAAAAAAAATGTACAAACCTGTGAAGGATTCTCCCATTTCTTGAGGAAGTCCTCTTTGGCTTTTGCAAGGAACTCCTTGACTGTAGGAGGAAGGAAAAAACGTGGCTTCAGCGGTTTGTTTTTACGGATAATGAGAGACGACAAAGGAGTATCTAACAAGTTGCCCATATTAGAGGTAAACGGCAGAAAGCATGAATAAACCTGCATCCTGGTTCACTGTTATTTGTAGCATGACAGTTGAACTTTAAATAGCATGGAAAACAGCTCAGACCAGTAATTTGCATGTAGTTCGACTCTCACACACTTAGAGTGCTCAAACTTTTATCAATACTCATATACACAAAACATAAATGGAACTACAGAATGCAATATTAAACTTTACATTAGGTAATTGAAAATAATAATTCCATAAAATAAGTGTAGTATTCTGATAAGAGCAGAGCGCTCGCCACTCTGGCTCCAAAAGCTAAACCTAAGCCCAAGAATGCTCCCTGATGCTGCAAGCTGCTCCCTGCTCCCAAAGAGTAATGCTTTAAATGCAGAAGACCAGCTTTATTGGAACTTAAAATAGCAATGACAACAAAAAAATTACTATTTAAAGATTATTGGATAAGGAAAAGGCATATTATGGTTCCTGTAGGCTTCAATGGCTAATTCTTAAAATCAAAAACAGAGTGGGTTCTTCCCTTCCTGCATGACAAATAAATCCGTAAATAAATTAAACCAAATGTGCAAATCTGCAACGACAAACTACCTGAATGTAGAGTCAAACCTACCCTTGATGAACAGGCAGCTTGTTTAAGCGGTTATATATGAATGTTAGCGGAAATCTTCCTCCAAATGGTTTGAAATTCAAACTGGTTTTTGACATCTCACTTAATTAGAATGAAATTAAACAAGCAAACAAGAACTTCATATTTCTGTGTAACTATACATTTGCATCGACCTTACTGCGCAGCAGTTAATAAGCAAAGGCACTGTGTCCAAGGATATGGGAAAAAAATTTTATGATGCTTCTCTAGCACCAAAGTACAACTGCAGCTCAACTTTTGAGGCCCTCCCTCTACTCTAAAATAGCTTTTCTAAGATAGGAATGTAACATAGTTTATTTTTCTCTTTTTATTAAAATCAAAAAGAATATTAAATCCGTTTCTGGGGTCTAGTAACTGTACTAGAAACATGAATGACACAATTTTGAGTTTAACCTCTAGAGCGGAGGTCTTCAACAGGGGTCCACAGAGGTACTGCATGGGGGTCGAGAAAGTTTTGGTTGATTAGACTTTTCTTTAAACCCCCCCCCCTCCATAAATTGAAATGTCTTTAAATAAACATTAACATGAATTCAACACACTGTATTAAACAGATAAATGGAGGCAGATGTCTTTCAGTCATCAATGCACACATTCAGCAACACACAGGAGCTCTTTCAAACTGGGCACCGTTTCATTCACAACACCTGTCCCATCAACCAGGAATCAGAAATACTTTAATAATCCCAGGGAGAAATTACTTTCGTTACATTACTTCATCTGTAATAGAGTGACTATAGGACCAGTATGTGTTATATCACATTGATATAACACAATTTAATAAAATAGATATAATTAGGGATCCCCGCTCCATCTCATCATCACTTTGGGGGTCATTGACCTGGAAAACGTTGAAGACCCCATCTCTAGACTAATGTTGATAAGAGTCCATATGTATTTCAATCAAATTTTAAGATTCATGTCTTTACATTTAGAGTTTTTGTAGATATATCACACAGAAAACATTAAACCTTACATGATCAATATTCCTTTGTAAAATAGAGCTTATTCATTTTAATTACATAATCATCAGGTTTATGTATTTAGTATTAAAAATAATTACTAAAAAATAATACCAATGTGTTCATTTATTTCAAATAAAGAAGCAGGGTACACCCTAGACAGGTCGCCAGTCCATCGCAGGGGAACACAGAGACAACCATTCACGCACACACTAACACCTAAGGACAATTTAGAGAAGCCAATTAACCTAACAGTCATGTTTTTGGTGGGAGGAAGCCAGAGTACCCAGAGAGAACCCACGCATGCTCAGGGAAAACATGCAAACTCCATGCAGAAAGATCCCGGGCCAGGAATCGGACCCAGAACTTTCTTGCTGCAAGGCAGCAAATAAATAAGCTATATCACATTAATGAATATGCATCATGTAAGGATTTAGTAGGTTTGTTTTAGAATAATCTAAAGAAAATGGGAATTTGTTATGGAATAAAATTTCACAAATCTTTAAATTTTGGTGAAATATTTTAGTGTGTACTTAACTCAATAGAAACACATGGTTTAAGTCAATTAATTCCATTAAGATATTAATAGAAAATGTATATTTTTATGTCTATAAAAAGACAAAAGCAAATAATTTGTCAGCCTTTCATAGGTTGATTACAGATTTGATGTTGGGGCTAACTAGAAACCCACAGCATCCAGGCTGGCCCTGTCTGCCTGAGTGATAAGAAGCCTCTTGGTTCGCTTATGCCTCGTCTCGGTGTGTTTGCAGTGTGTGCCAACATTATCTATTGCCAGAGAGCAACAGGCACAGAGTGTTCAGGAATTATCTGACACATAGCCTGTCTGCGATCCTGCCAAGAACTGAGCACAAGAGGAAGTGAGCTTGCTGCACTTTACATTCAGTTCTTTCCCCCGATTCTAAAGGTAAAGACTAGAAACAAAAACAGTATTTACTTTTTATTATTTAGCAACTCATGTCGATCAATGAAGAGTAACAGAGCCTGGTAATTATTTCTGGTTAAAAAAAAAAAGAGGAACATTGCTGGTAATTCCTGTCAGCATTTGCCCCAATAGGCGGATGGTTCTGAATGGAGCTGCTGTGAAAAGCGGCCTCTCTATGGAAGCTGGTTGTTTCTGATAATCAGGACTCACCGCTTTCCATTTCGCTGCCCTTTCTGGCTGTGGGCGCGTTGCCCATGATGACAACCTGTCAACGGGGCAATCTGTGGGCCGCCCTGCAGCCTCCTCCAGCCGGTCTATGTCGCTTAGATCTGCTCGGTGTTTCCTGGCTCCAGAAGAAAAGGGGACCGCTAACCTGCTCTGGAGGAGGGGGAAAAAAGCCCCGACAGATGCTGCTTAAGCGGCCGGGTAGAAGCGGCTCCCTCCACGACCATCCACCGCTAAGGCCGGGGTTAAATCCTCTTCAAGACCCCCCCACCCCCCCCGGATAGGGCTTCAGTTGGACCCTCAGGCCGAGCTCGGCGCTGATGGCCTGAGCACGGAGGATGCTGTCTCCGCCTGAACCTCCTGGCAGCCCCCGCCGATCGAGCCCCCCTCCCCTCCCCACCCCCGGCTCCCCACCTCTCCTCAGTCCCCCCAAAAAACAACGTTTTCCGATTCGAGGGATCAATCCTCCTAGTCCGAAGCGCCCCTCTTTCCGGTGATGAACCCAGTTTTGAAAAAACTGATCAACCGAGGCTTGGTCCGGCAGCGGCAGGTATTCATCCAAATCAACATCGCACCCCCCGCCCTCCCCCGGTAGCCTCGGAGACTAGCAAGATGACGGAACTACAGCCTAGCGAATGCCCCGCCCTCTTGGCGAATCACGGATGATTGACAGTTGAGATCAGGTTGATGATTGGCTAAACCGTCAGCAGTGGTCATATCGGGAGAGCTCTGATTGGTTAATCTATCCTATCACTCAAACAAACGGTCTGTCTGACAGCTATGGCATAAAAGCTAGTGAGAGAAGCGTCAGTGATTATTTTCCTCCCAACAACGTTCTCTCCGCTCACTGTCCTCCATTGGTTGAAGGCAGAGGGACCGTGGGAATCTCTGTGAGCGCGAGACGTCGATTGGTTATGACCAGTGACTGATTGGAGGACCCGCCCAACCCTCCCCTTTAAGAATAATGAAAAAAAAAGAAAAGAAAACTCATTTACCCCTCCACCCCTCCCCTCCAGCATCCAGCGACTGATACAGGTTTGGCTGAGTGACGTCAACAGTGAGCTATTTTTAGATATATTGGTCAGAATTTAACGCACGCTGGTATGGCAGGACGTTGTAACACATTATCACATTTTCTCAAAACTTTAATCTGAGATATTCAATGTTTTTTCTAAATAATCACTCAGTACATTTAAAAAAGTAGATAATGCTTATAACAGTTTTTATTTCCTTACAACGCAAACCTATTGTAAACACAGCACATTTAAATTAAAAAAAACATGAACGAGAAGCTTATTTAACATTTTTTATTCAACTAATATCTAGACCAGAGGTCTGCAACCTATGCCTCTAACTAAACTGGAAATTAAATAATTAAGGGAAACGCAAAAAGTTTTCCTGTATGTTTTCAATTAATATCCGTATAGAATATCAACAGGTAGCCTCTTTTAAAAGTAATGTAAAGGTATAGCCATAGTTTTAGGATGGCTAACCAGAGTTTTTGATTTTTCATATTAAAGCTACAGTGTGTAATAATTACAGGGATGTACAGTCAGAAATGTAATATATTATACATAACTATGTTATTTTATCATCATCTACGAGCTCAGCCTCTTAACCTTAATATTTGTGTTGCCTTAGAATTCGTTATTTATAATTACATAGGAGCGGGTCTCGCAGCCATGGAGGCAGACATCTTTGTGCTACGGCAGCGCAGAGCCAACAAACTAGTGATTGCGAGATCGCCAAAATGTCACAACGATGTAGAAAAAATAACGGGTATATTTTTTATCTTAAGTCTACATGAAATCTATACCCTACACAGACTAATGAAATACTATCTGTAAAATTATCTATGTAAACAAACCTCATCACTTGAGAAGGTAGATGATGCGGACGTCGTGGAAGACATTTTGTCCCGTAACACTTGCCGTACTGTTGGGGGGGAGAAGCGGTGGGGGGGGGGGATGTTCATGTTGCTGCAGTCTGCAGTCTGACCGCTAGATGTCGCTAAAAGTTACACACTGTAGCTTTAAAGGCAGCTCACTTAATTTGCCTCATTCTACAAAATAAATGTTTTGTTTTTCTAGCATAAGAAAAAGATATCTGCCAGTGTTTCTAGAAATTGAAAGGCATTAAAGATCCTTCATATGCAAAACAAACCGGCATTTCAAGATAATTTTATTTGACACCTTTACTCTGTTCTGCAAATCTTTACATTTTTCCACTTTTGAATCAGAAACACGTCTGTACAGTCAGGAATTACTCAATTAACTCACTTTCAGAGAAATGTATTATAGAACTACTGTCCCCCATTTTAAAAAAGGCAATTTGCTTAACAGATTTAATGAGTAACTGAACTGCTTTATTATAACATCTCTGTCAAATATTGATCTAGTTACACAGGTTTGTTGGTTTTTATTAATCTGCTACATTTATCTACCAATTTCTTCCAAGTTATATGTTTTAATCATCGGGGTTGTAGCAGTAATTTCAAACTTTATATCGAAACCCAAAAAATATTTGATAGCATGGGAACAGAAGAAAAAAATGATTATAGGGCAAAAAAAAAAAAAAAATTACCATGAAAAACTCACATTCTTCAGATCTCAAAATGGAATGTGCTTTAACCATTAGAGAAATAACTTTACAAATAAATTATAAAAAGTAAAAAAAAAAAAAAAAACAATCCACTGGAAACGTCTTCAAACTGTTGAACTTTTTATGGAATGACTATGACCTGGATGATTGAGAATCTTCACCAGCACTTTACAAATAAATGTTTAATAACCCCAACCTAACACAATTAGCTCATATTTTGAGGTATTAGGATTTTATGATGCAAATATTCTCAAAATCTAAATCTAACAATTGTAAAAATTTGCAAACAACATCTGAAGTATCAACACCACACCAAATTAGTATTGTATCAGGATACTTTTGAGCATTGATGCTTTTTAAAGCCCTATTCATACATTTCCTGTGCCTTTCATTAACGAAGAAATGTTTTTTGGGATAAAATTCTATCAGGAATTTAACATCTTAACATGTTAAAAGACACAGCCTTAAAGGAATTATGTTGCACAAAACTTTTTTCTAGTCAACAGTGAATTCAAATTTGGACATTAGAATCTATAACTATTGATTAATTTTTCCCCCTCAAGTTCAACACAGAAAGTGTTTTTATTTTGGTATTCAACACAAGGCTGGGATTTAGTATATAAACTTATATATGTTATATAAACCTAAACAGAAACTGCTTTTCCAGATGTAAATATCTTTTTAAATTAAAAAGAATAAACTTGAAGACACGTTAACTCGGCAGCCTGATATTATAAAATACAAGATAAATATAAGACACTGTAAATTTTTTATTCAATTTATGAGAAAAATGCTTCTTCTGGAAAGTAAAGAGCCTCTTTGATTTCCAACTAGAAATACATAAAATCAAGCTTCTTTTAAGAACATTATATTATATGACAACTCTTCTTGCCATACACACAAAGCACTGTTAAAGCAAGGACATCTACACATCTTGGAGGGATTTTTAGTTAGAAAAGACAAACACTTTATTATGCCAGGTGTTTCCACTCCTAACCCCCACCCTCTCCATACCTCACACCTGGACTACTGGGAGGGCAGAGCAATGACCAAGAGCCCTTCATAGCCAGTAGCATCAAAAGGTTCTTTTTACACAGATTTGCATCTGAATATCCCATTGAACTGTTTCATATTCTAACAGTGTAGACTCTATTAATACCTACCATAGGCTTAATGCTCTGTTGCTTTCTTCGTTCCTATACAAAAAGGACCACACCAAGCATGAGGATTAATGCCTTACGATTCCTGCTTACATGTGAACTTTTCTATTGTGAACATTTTATGGGCTGACAGCTTTTACACCTGGTTTCACGAGGCACATTCTGCTGCAGGTAGAGCCCTAGTACTGGGTTTGTTAAAAAACCTTGAATGAAACCTGCCAACATTTAAACTGCAATAAGCGAACAGCCATTATCGTACTTGATACAGGTTACTTTTTCACTAATTGCATGTTGTATGTATATCGATTTCTTTTCATAAACCATAAAATGTTGTAGACATCAGAAGTGGAGGGAACAGAGGGATGGGTGGGGGACTTACTCGATGCCACGAAGATAAAACAAGCGAGAGCAGACACCACCCCCCTCCTTTATGTGCTGCAGTTTCCTAGCAACGTGAGGCTGGAGTGGAAATGGTGAAATGATGCTGCTGCATTTTATGAATGAAACTGGAAAAAGGAAACAGCCAGAGAGGGGAGGGGAGAGCAAAGCATGCTGTTGCTGTGCTTTCTATTCCTCACAAGTCAAAGCAGGAAGGAGCTGCAAGGAGCAGTGGTAATCAGAAACAGAAATTTTATTTAACCTCACCACTGGTAAAAAAAAAAAAACAAAAAACAAAAAAAACAAAGTATAAGATATAATAATATGGAGAAGATAAAACAATAGCCTTTCAGTAAGAAGGCAAAACAAGCGCTAGGAATATATTTACAAAGAGCATTTTAGTCACAGAACTTGACAGCATCTGTTTTAAACATCAAGTCCTGCTATATTTTCCCCCCAACACAACAAATGGTGCATCATTTTGGGAAAGCTTAAAGAGGTGGGTTTATTATTGTGAGCACAAAATTACCTCTTAGGATAAAAATTCATATTTCATCCCAGGAAGCAGTAGGTTCCTTGATACCACAAAAGAGCACCAGATGAGACGTTTCTGAACAATGAGATTATTGTGGTACAGGAGTACCAATGCAGAGATCAGTGTCCTGAGGCTCTAATCTTTGCTCAAAATGCTCCAAAAATGTAGCTGGATTAAAAAGGAAAAAAAAAAGAGAGAATGTTAGGTGTGATAATAAATAAAATGCATTTCTGGTTGTGCAGATCTGAGTGTTAGAAGGGAAGAGAAAAGCAGACAAGACAGGAAGCTATGCTGGCAACACCCATCCCATTAAATGGGCTACACAGAAGAGAGAAAATGTCCCATCTCATCATGTCCTTCAAATGTCCACATAGGGGACATCTCTGACGATATTATGAAGTACTACGATGTGTACGAATGTTAAGGTGAGAAGAGCTCCTTGTCCATCCTCATGAGTCTCATGACGCCTACATGCAATCCATTGAGTTGTCTGGCATCTGTCCAAGAGCTGGCATCTTTCCTGGTGCGCAGGATGGGGGGAGCATGCCGCCCGTGTTCGGTGACGGGTCCACGTTTTCGCTGTCTTCCATCTTGTCGGCCAAGCCTTCCCAGTTGATGTGGAAGCGGGTGACACGGGGGTTGGACGCCAAAATATTCCTCAGAAGCTGGAAGGAAAAGGGACGCGTTATACTCGTGAACTTTGTGTGGCTTTCGGTTTAAAGAAAGAAAAAGGTAGAGATGGGGAAATTGGGCCAAAAAATATATATATAATTTAAATTTGTTTGAAGCTTAATAAATTATCAGAACATTGATTCAAATCAATTAAGTCAGGCTTCTAATGTAGCATTCATTTCAGTGCAGCCTAAAATAAAATACTTACAACTATATATATATATATATATACACACACACACACACACACACACATACATTAGGGCTGCAACAACGAATCGATAAAATCAATAAAAAACGACTTTTTTAAAGTTATATTTAAAATGCCACAATAATCACATTTAATGAAGTTAATGCCAATTAATGCCTTATTTAAAAAAAATAATTTAATGACTTTTAATTATTTTTAATGACCCGTAGAAACCCTGAGCCACCTTTTACTTTGATTACTGCTTCGCACGCTCTTGGCATTCTCATGACGGGCTTCAAGAGGTAGTAGGGACAATCTTAAAAGATTTAAAGGTGGGAGGAAATGAAAGCTTAAAAAAGTAAAAGCTACAATTTATCAGGAGCTGGATTTTGAAACTACTGTTTTTATGCACCTTACATGTATAAATGAACTGATTTTATGAAAAGGGAAAAAAAACTTGAGGAACTCCCATTGATGGACAAGGAACCAGAAGCCATTAAGCCTCCATTAAAACTGAGAATCTGGGGTTTTATCAGAACCTTCTGTCCATCCTTCCAAACAGACAGTAGTAAAAAGACAGTTATACTGATTCCAGGTGGAAAACTGATTAACTTCCAAATCTTTTCAGATAATTTAAATCTTTCTGACTTTCTTAGAAGGCTGGGTTTTACTTCTGTATTCTGAGGCAGCCTGAAATGCAGCCACTCGTATTTGCTCATTAAGCACCCATGCCTTTAAATGAACCTGCTGCTCCCACCATTTGCTGTCTGTTGTCAATGTTTTTACCTCCGCAGAGGAGGTTATGTTTTCAGCGAGTTTGAGAGTCTGTTTTTCCATCTGCGAACAGGACAACTAGAAAAGTTACAAACAGCTTTTAATAAATTACTCCTCATGCCAAGGAACAGTTGATTAATGTGTGGTAATGATCCAGATGTTTAAGCTATAGGTGGAAGTAACAATATGAGGCAAAATTTTCTGTTTGGCGGAGATCTGCGCTCTCAGAGTACTTCTCTAGTCTTTGATTCGTAAACAAATGTTTATTTTTGTTTATATACTTTTTTTTAAGCATTTGTTATTACTTCACAGTCTTTTTCCTGTAAATTGAGGATGAAGAAGCAGCATCTGCATCAAGCATTGGCCCCAAAGTAAAGTGGGTAGCAAATATCAGGGATTGATTAGACTGATGTCAAAATAATCAGCAATAACATGCAATTTTTTCTTAAGAAAAATTGCATTCGTTGATGCCGATTTCTAGCTAAGAGGTTTAATTAATAAAACAAAACCGTCTTAACCACTTAAGCCCAGGCCAAGAATGGTTAGGGGTAAGGCATGAGCGCTTTTTAAATATTGTGTTTAAACTGGCCCCCTATTTCAAATGAGTAAAAACAAGTTTTAAAAAATAATTGATATTGACCGATGTGAAAGGCTTATATGGTGATAAATGTTTCCATAATATTACACAGCCCAGTTTAAGCACAAATGAACAATTAAAATTAGCATAAAAATATTCAATTAATTAATAAACTGTCGCATTTAACCTATGGAAACACTAGGGGGCAACAGAGAGCCACTCTTTACTGAAGTCTTTTATCAGACCCTTTTAATGCGCTCTTCATGTGTTTTATAAAACACAGAACCGTCTCTGTTCTAATTACCTGGGAGTAGTCTGGTTTTAATGGAGGGTTTTCCCGTAGTTCTGGGTCTGTGTATTCATTGTTGACATAATAACCGATGCGTATGAACTCTTGTCCTCTGTAGGTACAGGTTATGAGGACCACAGTCACTCCCACAGCATCAGTCTCTGGAATCAGACCTGTATTAGGAGCGTCGGCCTATTGGGGTGAAACAGAGCAAACAAAACTATTACCTCAAAACTTTATCCCACATAATACATCATTAAGCACTGTGGTATAACAGCTAAGATTTTTTAAAAACATGCAACAATCAGATATTTGTGGACAATTTCTGATCCGCAGTTTCTGTACTTGGGCCAGCTAATGAGTTCTTTTTTCGTTCAGGAATAAAGAAGGTAACTAATATGCATAGACATTTTTGCGTATATTAGTTACAGACTTTGAAACAATACATAATGTAGAGGCATTCTGCTTCTATTTGTGTTTTGTACATTAGCAGACTTTCTGAAAAGCTCTTAATACAATGTGACCTATTATTTAATTTTATTGTTTTTAAAGTTAGAAAATGTAATGAACCCCAGTCATTGTTTATTTGGTGTGAGGATGTTGTTCTTTTTTTATTTGTCGAGCCTGTATAATTTTGGGATTTTAATCCAACTAGAGAAGTAAGAGGCGAGCTATCAAGTACTCACCTGAAACACAAACATGTGTCTGCCGGCTGGTACAGGACCAACTAGAACAGAATCCAGAACCTGATCGTATTCTTCACTCTCAGCAGACCCCACATAGATGATCTTCCACTCCAGATCTAACAGAGGAAAGGTGGTGGGACCATGCCCACCAGGACAAACGTTTAAATTCACATGGCTTATATTTCAGCACATTATTCAATCACTGCATATAATGTTGTCAAAGACAAAAGCTCATTGGAAGTGTGCAGAAAGCTTTGAAAACTAACACCAAAAAATACCGGAAAATACTAATAAATGGGTATTAAGTTGGGTCTTGTGGGCTCAACAGAGCGATGCTTATAGAATTTCATTCAATATAAATTAATATAAATGGAGACATTTCCTTTTTCTTGTTATCGCGGGCTCTTTTGGCATGAATCAGTCTGAAATCCTATAATATTGAGTAATATAATGCGTAATATAAAAACTGATATCAAAGTACTTGCATTAAAACACTAATGCATTAATTGTATTAAATGTAATCCAAAATGAAAAGCAACAGACTTCATTGCAACAGTTAAGTAACGTCAAATGATAGTTTTAATCAGGTTTTCTACATTATATATCAAGACAAATTCTGTTTTATCAAAATTTAACTTAATTTTGCACTACAGCTACAGCTCAGTTTGTCTTTGTTACCATGGTAACCCTGGTACTTTCTCTTATATATCCTTTAAACGGAGTATATTTGGTCAAGAAATGTGTGCCTTTAAAACAATAACTTAAAACAACAACAAAGGAAACTGTTTTCCTATTCCTGCAGCATATTACCGAGTTAAGAGTTTGGAACACAGACTCTTGTTGGACTGGATGTAACTAGGGCTGAAACAATAACGACTAATCGATTATCGATTAATTGTTAACCGGAGTATAGACTCTAAAACATGCCTTTAGCTGACAGAGCAACCCAATTAGAGCAGTAATTATACCAAAATTGTATATATATTAGTGCTGTCAAAATTATCGCGTTATTATCGCGTTAACGCGAGGCCATTTTAACGGCGACAATTTTTTTAACGTGAGATTAACGCTATGTGGTTTTATGGTAAAATTTTCCAAGTACATCCCGCTGCAGCCTGCGAGAAGGCGGGGCTATTTTCCCCCAGTGTATGCATTTCTCATAGGCTTCGAGAGCGGAGCTCCTCAAGGAAAAAAGACGCTCATACACTGGGTGACGCTAGTGCCTTTTCTTTAAGCCCCACCACCAACAAACAAGTTGAGTGTCTGGTAACTAGTAGCAACCTGAAATACGCTGAGAAAACAGATTACTGAGGTGAAATGGAATCTGCTACGGCACTCTTGCTGTCACAGGTCGGTATCGTGTGTGTGTGGGTGGGTGTGTCTGTGTGTGGGTGGGTGGGTGTGTGTATGTTCTCATTTTTGTTAAGAGTCTAAAAAGTAACTTTCATAGACTACCTCCATCTAGTGATGTCGGTCTATTGATTTTGATGTATTGATTGAAAATTGTTCATTATTATCTTGGTTAATTAACATCTAATGTTAACTGTACTACATTTTATAGCAGTAGGGTAAAATGCTTGTCTTTGTTCAAAAGACTGTATTAACTGTAAAGACTGTCTTTTACATCACCCTGTTTTCAGGGCCTTTTTTTTGGCTACATATTTGTTATTTTTTGCTACATGCCTCCCCATCTTCTTGCCATATGTTTCTATGGCATAAATCAGTATCTGTGACCTGTTCTCATTTAAAAAAAAGAACATTGGCACAAACCTAGCCTGTATGTATTTTTTGTATGTCATCGAGAGTATTTAAATGATTTTCAATCAGAAAAAAAATTTGCGATTAAAATGCGATTAATCGCGAGTTAACTCAGGCATTGATGCGATTAATCGCGATTAAAAAAATTTAATCGATTGACAGCACTAATATATATATATATATATATATATATATATATATATATATATATATATATATATATATATATATATAAACATTTTGCATTTCTTATTAACAATTAGTTTTGTCTCTCAATATGCTCTGTGTTTCACCCGGTTTAATTCGTAAAAATCTTTGACTATCCAATTATTAATGGAAAGATTAATCGATTTATTAAATAACTTATTACAGATGGAGCATAACATTTTTTATACATTTCGCGGGTAAGTTCTGCTCCATTTGATTGATGTATTCTGTAAAACCACAAAATGAAGGAGTGGATAAGTTTCGTTATATATAGAGTTATATTAAATTAAACAAATGGCGATAGGAATGAAAAGAAGATTAGAGGTTGGTAGGACTGAAAAGGAGGCAAAACTAGTTAATTTCTCAGCAGGAATTTATGTTTCGCGGCAATTCGGTGTTTCTGCCAATATAACGCTCCCAGCCAATCGTCTTGCTGGGAAACACTGACGCAATGGTACAACAGCCAATCAGCGAAGGGAGAAAGCGGGCTGATCCTCAGACGTCATTGCTTGGAGCGGTTGAGCACGTGTGGCGAACGTTTGTGTTGGACGCGGAAAAATTCAAAGCAGAAACATCACTTGAGAGAAGGCGGATTTGGCATAAACTGGTATGTGAATGGTTCGGATGGAAATGGAGATAGGAAATGAGGAAGACGAGGATTTTGAAGGGTGGACGCCTGCGGGAAGAGGGAGAGGGAGAGGTCGTGGAAGAAATAAAACTGATGAAGGAAGGGGAAAAGGTGACAGTCAAGGTAATAAACGGGAATTGGAAGGAAGTAGCTCAGAAGAAGAAAGGGTGGTCAGGAGGAAAGTTGTGAGGGAGGAATTTAAAGTAATATTAAAACTTAAAAATGTGGAAGGTGTGCAGGAGAACATGAATATGGTAAATGTGGAAAAGAAGCTAAAATAAAATGCTGTAATTGTGGTGGAGAACATACTGCTGCTTATCGCGGCTGTGAAGCAAGCAAAAGGTCTGAAGAAATAAAAAAAATGAAATTTGAGCTTGGAATAACTTATGCTGAAGCTGCAAAAAGGATCCCATCTCAGTCAGAAAAACCCAAACCTACAGTTCAACACACGGCAAATTTCAAACCTCTAGAGAAATCTCCAAAAATTGATGAAGACTCACTAATTGTTAAAAAGACAAATTTTGTTCTTTTCATGGTGGAAGTGATTAATTGTACTGCTCAGACGACAAAAAAAACAGAAAAAATCAAAATAATAGTGAAGGCTGCAGAAAAATATCTGGATGTTAAAGATATGAACTGGGAGATGGTTGGAAGCATGATGGAAAGACCAATGGGACCATCAGAAACTGGCAGAGGTACGATGACCTAGAGTAAATTAAAATTATACGGGCAAATGTAATTTAGTATAATTTAGTATTATGTGGGTTTAAGTTACACAGGTTATTTTATTGTATTTTTTTTTTTTTTTTTTTTTTTTTTTTTTTTTTTTTTTTTTTGGGGGGGGTGAATCGTTTCCTGTTTCCTTGCTTTACTCCATATCAGTTGGTGGCGGTAATGCACATTTCACAAGTTTGCCAACCGCCATAAAATCTCATAAGAAGAAGAAGAAGAGAAAGCGGGCTTCTCAGAACAAACGCGCCAGCGCCAATTTTTAACTGCTCGCATAAAGAAACATACCCAATCCTTTTAAAATATCGACTAACAGTTTTTATGGGAAAACATAAAGGTGTAATTGGGACATACTGAGGCGCCACGCATTTTCACGTCTGAGCTAACACTTAAATAAAAGCGCGTAAACGTTCCTGCGAAAATAGACCGTTTGATACAACTGACAGCAAGAGAAGGAGAAAACTTACCTTCGGGTAAATCCTCCATGCATTCAAACGTTATTTCAAACTGAAACGGGTTTCCAAACGGGCTCGGGTTGTCCAGAACAGCAACATTTAAGACTTGTACCTTTGCCATGACAGAAAACTAAGTTACGCGTTAACCTAATAGCTAATTTAGCTGTAAGCAGGCCTGAACTATTACTGAATACTGAGCTGTTTGTTTTAAAGTCAGTTGTCGAGTTAAGAAGTTAGAGTTGGAGCCCTTTATTCTAAGAGAGAACACCCACACTACCCATCGGCTACTTGTTAAGAGGAAGTGCGTCACTCTTCTTCTTCTTCTTCCTCTGCATTGATCACGCATTTACAAATCCTATACTTCTGCCCTCTAGTGTTCATATGGTGAACAACAGCTAAAATCTTTTGGAGGAAGGGTAGAACCCTGGGCTGATAAGTACATCAAATAAATTATATTTGACAATCATAGGTTTCAAGATTCTACAGACACTAATTTGGACAAACATTACATTTATTTTTAACAATATTAATGTATGACAGAAATCAACACAAACAGTTTTGGGATAATTAGTATCCACCTTTTTTTCTGTGGAAAACTTTCAATTAAAAAAATTTAATCTTCAAGCAACTGCTTTTTAATGAGTTTTCAAATATTCTCTGTGATTGAGTGGCGAGCTGTCCAGGGTGTACCCCGTCTTCGGTACACTGCCGGAGATAAACAGGCACCGGTTTAGGTTTAGAAAAGCAAGTAAATAGGACCTTTCTATATACAAAGAAGTTCTGGGGCAAGAGGGGATAAAAGGCTGTAGTATTGTGCTACATTTGAGATTAAAAACTATTACCGTAACAAAGAGACCATCAAAGCAAATTTTTGTCGTTTGTGCAGGAAAATTCCTCTCAGATTAGGCAAACAGTATGTACCAAGAAAGCTCCTTATTGAGCCCTCCTCTGGACAAGCTGATTTGGCTTTTCCACACCCCTCTGGCTTCCAAAGACCACAGCCCCAACAATCATGACAACCAGTCAGAGTTCATACAGATAGGGCTAGGAGCATGGAAAAATAAATTTAGAAAGAGGCCTTAACAGATGGTCTGCTAAGCATTCTCTGCATAAGGAGAATGCTTTTTAAAACAGACAATTTTGAGCACACGTTAGTTAAGAGGTGGAGAAAGGCAGTGATAAAAATGTTTTTATTTTCATTTTTGAAGCTTATACACAGGCTTTAGGGGGAAATATGACTTTTACAATGTGAACTTTGCAAAACATGGGACCTTTAAAATAAGGATGTCTTTAGATGCTTTTTACAAGCATCCACAGTTTGCAGTGATCCTCGTCATGTGTTGGATCAATTCCATGATCTATTTTCTAAAACTTGGATAAATCTGGCAAAACTAACATTTTATAATCCATTCAATGAGCAACATGGACCCAATGGAGAGATTTTTAAACAGGAATAATGTTGGGCTCTGTGCTGTTGTGCATCAGGATCCCAGCTTCAGATACCTTGTTCCATTTGCAGACAGGCAAGCTCCTTTTTGTTCAGACAAGTTAAGAAACTATTATAGTCTAAATGTGATGAAACCAAAGCATGGAACACCAATCAAAGCACAGTTTTAGATATAATAGTTGGGAGCTGATTTATATGGTGAGACATGGTTTCATCAAAAATGCCCCCATTATTGCCTTGCTTAGATGGGTACCCTCTAATTTAAGCAATAGCACTTTCTGGGGCAACAATATTTCAGCTTAACTGTGAACAATTATCACTCAGCAACTGCTTTATATGTAGAAGAAAGTTAATCAGGGAGCTTATGTATGGGCCTCAGGTGGTAAGTAGGAGACGTCACATGTCCACACATAACTATGGTAACATTTAAGGAGAGTATTTTAACCTTAGATGAACTTCTTTTAAAAACAGATGAGTCACAAGAAATAACTCAAATGTCTGGATTCCTTGTAGAAGGACGGTTGTTCTGCTTTTGCTTGTTTCGTCCTTTAGATAGATGTAAGATGTAATAGAGCAGGCCTGCCAAATATATCCAACTTTACATGTACCCTTCATATAGTTTTAACTCTGTAAATATGAACAGCAATAACTTATTTGCTGTAGGTTGTTCCATTTAGTTTTCACTAGAGCACCTCTGTAGAAGGTGTACATTAGATGCCACCAAGTGTCTGCAGGACTGGAAAACTTTCTAGTCTTTGGTCTTCATCAGCATATCTGTTGCTTCTCCTGGATGGATGAACTGGGTGGCTATATTTATTCTCTGCTACTCCCAGCTACCTACTTAAAAGCTTTTCAAATAGAATCAGGTGAGGACTTTTGGGTTCTCCCTTTCTACTAGAACAGCAATGCATTATGGGGGACTAATCCCTGGATATATACACTCACCGGCCACTTTATTAGGTACCCCATGCTAGTAACGGGTTGGACCCCCTTTTGCCTTCAGAACTGCCTCAATTCTTCGTGGCATAGATTCAACAAGGTGCTGGAAGCATTCCTCAGGGAGTTTGGTCCATATTGACATGATGGCATCACACAGTTGCTGCAGATTTGTCGGCTGCACATCCATGATGCGAATCTCCCGTTCCACCACATCCCAAAGATGCTCTATTGGATTGAGATCTGGTGACTGTGGAGGCCATTTGAGTACAGTGAACTCATTGTCATGTTCAAGAAACCAGTCTGAGATGATTCCAGCTTTATGACATGGCGCATTATCCTGCTGAAAGTAGCCATCAGAAGTTGGGTACATTGTGGTCATAAAGGGATGGACATGGTCAGCAACAATACTCAGGTAGGCTGTGGCGTTGCAACGATGCTCAATTGGTACCAAGGGGCCCAAAGAGTGCCAAGAAAATATTCCCCACACCATGACACCACCACCACCAGCCTGAACCGTTGATACAAGGCAGGATGGATCCATGCTTTCATGTTGTAGATGCCAAATTCTGACCCTACCATCCGAATGTCGCAGCAGAAATCGAGACTCATCAGACCAGGCAACGTTTTTCCAATCTTCTATTGTCCAATTTCGATGAGCTTGTGCAAATTGTAGCCTCAGTTTCCTGTTTCTTAGCTGAAAGGAGTGGCACCCGGTGTGGTCTTCTGCTGCTGTAGCCCATCTGCCTCAAAGTTCGACGTACTGTACGTTCAGAGATGCTCTTCTGCCCACCTTGGTTGTAACGGGTGGTTATTTGAGTCACTGTTGCCCTTCTATCAGCTCAAACCAGTCTGGCCATTCTCCTCTGACCTCTGGCATCAACAAGGCATTTCCGCCCACAGAACTGCCGCTCACTGGATGTTTTTTCTTTTTCGGACCATTCTCTGTAAACCCTAGAGATGGTTGTGCGTGAAAATCCCAGTAGATCAGCAGTTTCTGAAATACTCAGACCAGCCCTTCTGGCACCAACAATCATGCCACGTTCAAAGTCACTCAAATCACCTTTCTTCCCCATACTGATGCTCGGTTTGAACTGCAGGAGATTGTCTTGACCATGTCTACATGCCTAAATGCACTGAGTTGCCGCCATGTGACTGGCTGCTTAGAAATTAAGTGTTAACGAGCAGTTGGACAGGTGAACCTAATAAAGTGGCCGGTGAGTGTATATACAGTATATCCCATAAAAATATTGTTTTCCAGTGAAGCTGGTCCTGATCAGTTCTACAGCCTCACCAAGTAAGACTTTGTACTTGTTCCACTCACTGTAAAAGGCAAGAACTGGATTTTCTGTTCATGGTGGAGGCCTGGTTGAACAATCTCCAAACATCCAACTCTATCAGGTGGACTTTAACTTTATCCGGACACAGAGGTCATCCGTGCATAGCAGCAGTGTAAGAATACATAGAGATCATGTGGAGGGTGGCAGCAACAGAGAAAGGAAATATCTTAATTTGATTGATATTTCCAGAAGCATTTGCATTGCTGATGGGTAAATCTGGATGTGTAATAAGGTCTGGGGATTGAGCACGATCTTTGAGCAAGAAAATAAAACTGAATGGGACAAAAAATTATTTGTTTGTTTCTTTTATTTCAGACCTCTGTGAAAACTCATTAGCAGGCACACTAATATTTTTGAATGAATATGTGGAAGCACCGATGTTGGGGTTATGCTCTTAATTTGATCCGATTGACTTACATGAAAGCGGGTGGCACAATTCAATAAAACACACGACACGACTATTCATGTGTCAAAGAAAGCTAGAGTTAGCCAAAGGCTGTTTTTCCTCTGTAGTACCCTGGATATATTTAAAAAGCAATAAAATACAAAAAAAAAAAAATAAGTACAGAAGGACACACTTATCACTCAAGCAAATGCACTGTGAATTTCCCACTGTGGGACAATGTTTCTATTCCATTCTTTTATTCTAAACTTGAAAATTCTGTTGCTATTTTTTTTCCACTCATGTCTCATGGTCATTTAAATCACATGTTAGATAAAGTGTTTGCTTCGAGTGATCTCTTCTCAGGAAGGAATCCGGGAGGGAAAGCTTGAAAGATGTAAAAATGCATTACATTACATATAGGCCAAGAGACAGCAGTCTTATTTGGCCATACTTAGAGAGATATATTTAAATAGACAAAGTAAATAAGTACACTATTTCAGTTAATGACTGGTCACCAATAGAAACTGATTAAGACAGAAAACAAAGTTTTATAATTTAACACAAGTAAAGTAAGAACTTTATTGGAATTTCATTGGTTCCAAAGATCATTTGGACAAACATAAAATTGTGAGAACTAGTTTGCAGCAAACAGGCACTGGATGGATGATGGAAACCTGATATTAAAGAGACACAACAGGGCAAAACAAAAAGAGTATTTAATAAAGTGGCCGATGTTTATATATATCAGATCCACTTTTTAATTAATCCCTGCATATAATTGACACTAGACTGTTGGTTGTTGCACAAAATGTACGGTAATCCAGACATCCTTTTTTTTTTATTAAGCCGTTGACATTTACATGAAAAAATACCATTAGAGAGGGTGGCAAAAGTGTACATGAACAGATGAAGATTAATTACAGTTGAAAAAAACTAAGTAAAACAAATAGCAGGGGATTTATCTCAACAAACATTTATATCAAACATAGAAAGAGCCATAGAAATATGAAAAACAAAAAGGTGGATGCACTTAGAATAGCATATGTTGGGAGAATTCAAGACTCAATTTTGTTTTGGCATATTTGTCTTTTAAAAAAATATTTTTAAGAGAAGAAAAAAGGGGTTTAAAGTCATTCATAAACCAATGAAAGGAAGGTTTAGCATTTCTCCATTTAGCACAGTGGATATGATATTTACCCAACAGCAGAAGGATATTAATAGTATCAGAAAAGGGCTGGGGAAGATGGTCCATTTAAAAAAATGACATCATTTAGGGTGAATGGTGGAACATCATTTATTTTCAAAGAAATCCAATCTTTCATCTCTTTCCAGATGTGTAGGAAGACACTGGTAAAACATATGTTCAAGAGTTTCACTATTATTATTTCAAAAGGAACATTGATCCACCAATAAACCAAATCTTTTTCTTAAAAATTCTGCTACAGGATAAATTTTGTTTATAACTTTAAAATGTGTTTCTTTGACTTTAGGAATCCAGACATCCTTGTACGGAAGAGGATTAGGGCCACAAGTTAACTGATTTTCAAATTTTATTTCTGTAAATTATGACCAAAAAGTCAGAATTCTGACTTTAATCTGAGAATTCTGACTTTAATTTCAGAATTCTCACTGTTTTCTGACAGCTAACAAACATGTCAGCATCAAGCCATAGCCATGTCCGTTTTAAAGATTAGCTCTCTTGTTTTAATCACCTTCTGCTCCTCCATTAATGAAATAATCACCGAGGACCTCTCTGGCACCTAAAAATGTGCCTAATTGCATTTTCTACCAATGTGTTACTGGTCCTCCCAAACAACTCACATCTTTGTCAGTGAAGCTGAGTGCTCCCTCATCTCTTTTTTCATGGTGCCCATCTACATTAAGATCCAAAATTCTGAGATTAAAGTCCGAATTCTGAGGGAAAAAGTCAGAATTCTGAGCTTTAGGTAAGAATTCTGAGGAAAAAGTCAGAATTCTGAGCTTTAGGTAAGAATTCTGAGGAAAAAGTCAGAATTCTGAGCTTTAGGTAAGAATTCTGAGGAAAAAGTCAGAATTCTGAGCTTTAGGTAAGAATTCTGAGGAAAAAGTCAGAATTCTGAGGAAAAAGTCAGAATGCTGAGATTAAAGTCAGAATTTGAAGAAAAAAGTCAGAATTCTGAGGAAAAAGTCTTAATTCTAAGATAAAAGTCAGAATTCTGAGGAAAAAGTCAGAATTCTGAGCTTTAGGTAAGAATTCTGAGGAAAAAGTCAGAATTCTGAGCTTTAGGTAAGAATTCTGAGGAAAAAGTCAGAATTCTGAGCTTTAGGTAAGAATTCTGAGGAAAAAGTCAGAATTCTGAGGAAAAAGTCAGAATGCTGAGATTAAAGTCAGAATTTGAAGAAAAAAGTCAGAATTCTGAGGAAAAAGTCTTAATTCTAAGATAAAAGTCAGAATTCTGAGAAAAGTTTGAATTCTGAGGAAAAAAGTCAGAATTCTGAGATTAAAGTCAGAATTCTGAGATTAAAGTCAGAATTCTGAGGGAAAAAGTCAGAATTCTGAGCTTTAGGTAAGAATTCTGAGGAAAAAGTCAGAATTCTGAGGAAAAAGTCAGAATGCTGAGATTAAAGTCAGAATTTGAAGAAAAAAGTCAGAATTCTGAGGAAAAAGTCTTAATTCTAAGATAAAAGTCAGAATTCTGAGAAAAGTTTGAATTCTGAGGAAAAAAGTCAGAATTCTGAGATTAAAGTCAGAATTCTGAGATTAAAGTCAGAATTTCGAGGAAAAAAGTCAGAACTCTGAGGAAAAAAGTCAGAATTCTGAGATTAAAGTCAGAATTCTGAAATTTAAGTCAGAATTCTGAGGAAAAAAAGTCAGAAGAATTCTGACTTTTTCCCCATATTAAACTGAAATAAAATTTAAAAATCAGTCAACTTTTTTTTCAGTGTCCCTAATCCTCTTCGCTATCCTTTTATCCATTCAATCGGGAATACATTTTTGTCCCTGTGGAGCTTCCATACCTCAATAATGTTTTCATCAGCTGATGCACCTGTGTGAGCTAAGCTAGCGCTGACCGGGGATGTGAGCAGCTCCGTGCCGCGGCTTCGATAACATTTATCCCAACAGGAAGTCCTCCATCTCCTCCCCCATTATTATCAGAATAGTTTGACCTCCTCCATCGGTTATCTGGGTGACTTTTGCCCCTCCGCTCCGCGGCTCCTGATGCCCCGTTAGCCTGGGAGCTAGCCGCTGGTATAAAGAGGAGCGGGCAGCTGGAGGTTGACTGACCGGGACAGAACAGGCTGCAGCGGGATGAACCATGGCGTCTGTCCGAGTGGCTGTGCGGGTCAGGCCGATTAACAGGCGGTGAGTGAAGCACACTCTGCTTTCAGAGGGTTTATTTTCTGTCTTTGAGGCAGCAGGTGATCAATTAACATTCTGTTTATCACTTTTTCCTCACATTTGATTACTGATTCCTACATGACTTCATACTGCTGTCGTAATAACGATTGCTAATTGGACCATAAAAAACAAACAAATGTGTTGAATGTTGCACCTTAAAGAAAAGTATGATAGTCTGGTGAAATATTTCCCCAACTTCTGTGATTTGTGTGCTTAATTTGAACAGAGCTGGAGTTTTTGATCACACTAGATAACTAGAGGATTTAATTAAAAGAAACATTTCCTCATCAGCATTAGGTCTGGCTGTTTTCTTCCTCTCAGCTTCATTTGTTTTGTTTTTTTCTTTGTAAAAGAAACTTTTGGATCCAAGAAGCAGCTCCATGTTTTCCATAAGTCCAAAGTTTTTAAAATTTTAGTTCAATAAATCAGAAGGTAAAGTGATTTGTATGATTTGCAATAAATAATCAAACCTATCCTGAGCAACAAAAACAACAAAATCAGAAAACTAAACATTTTTAAATATTATTTAAATGTTATTTAAATATTTATTCAGATAATTCATGATCATCTGTCTTCAGTTATGCTCTCTGATTCAGGGTGTCTAATAACATAGATCACAATTTCTTTTTAATCTTTACTTCTTTTTCTTTAAGGGGTTGTGCATGTATTATTTGAAATTTATATTAAAAGAATACATATATTGAAAAGTGTTCATTTTGGGGGAAAAACTATTAAAATCTCATTTTATTTTTCTGGAGTTTAAAAAATATCTCTGTGAGCATGACCTCCAAATCCCTAATAGTTTTATTATAATAGCTTCCATTTTGCAGCACTAATTTAGAGATATTTCCCCTGAACTTCTTTAGATAAAGAAAACATTGGCTCAGGTTCCAGAGCCAGAGTTTATATAGAAACCAAACCATTTCCTAGCCTAATGTTGCCTCCACACCGGTGACTTTTGACCCATTTTTACTGCACCGTGACAGCTTTACATAATGTGCTTTCGTCTTGTTGTAGTTTCGTCTTCTGCTGACAGAGAAATTAAATAATCTGGAGTGTTTCTGAAGCTGCTATGGAAGCTTTGGTGCATCTGCAGCTTATATATCAATGTGAGCTTTTGAGTCTTTGAACAAACAAAGGTGCAGCTGCATCTGTCTGCAGAGCAAATATCCTGCAGATCGGACGGGTATTACATAAAACTTGCTAAAAAAAAAAGCCAGAGTTGGATGCATTATTTGGACTCAACTTAGACACATATCCAGTCGGTTACTGGGCTTTGCCAGAAGGATGCTTTGCTCGCATAATGTGGCTATTGCAAGGCAGGTTTAAGTAATCAGGGTTGCCACAGACATAAGCAGAACTTGCTTTCTCAAACTGTGGTGAAATGTGAACATGCACCACATTTCGTAGGTAGAAAACTATCTGGAGTTCAGAAAAATAAAAGGGAACTAATGTTGCCTTCAATAAAACCAGGGAAAGATTGTCAGGCCATCCCTGAGAGATTAAATGCATCAATTGTCACATTTTTAAAGAAACAAATATTTTAAGAAACAAGTTAATTGTGATAATTAACAAGGTGTTATTTTGACAAAATTTTAGTAAGAGTTAGTCTTTTGATGAAAATGTACATTGATTTTAGTGAAACCATGGTCAAATATTTCCGTCCCATTTTTATCCAGTTTAAGTCTGGTGATTTAAGTCAGAATTTTAGTCCCATAAACTTCTTTTAATTCAGATTCAGTCAACAAGAAAGTTGTTTGGACTGAAAAAAATTCCCTTACACCACTAACAGGTTTTAGTCTGAAACTAATGAGTTAGATTTAAATTATTATTTTCTTCCCACTCCTCCCAACCTCTAGCCTTGCAGATTCATATGAACTTTAGCTACTTTTTCAATTTCCAATCCTTCAGTCAGATAAAAGCTCCCATGTGACTTCTGTTCAGTCCTTTAAAAAGTATGGAGTTTGTTTTTAAGATTTTTCTGCATTTTAAAATGCATGGGAAAACCAAAAGGCTTTTGTTACACTGCTTTAACTATAAGGTTTTAATAAATGTTTGTATATCAGTGTAAGAAAGGGACCAAATGCTGGCGATAAATTCTTGAAAATGTAAGTGTGCAAAGTGGGAAAGTGTTGGAACTGCTGTGCCTTAACTCAGGAGCTGACAGGCTTGATGATGCATAACAAATAAGGTGGCAAACAGGTCATTTCAAATGGAAACTCTGCAGTTTTCTTCAAACTAAAATGCTGCTATTTCCACAGGAGGAATATTTGAAGCCCCAGTGTGTGGCGCTGAGTGGGGAATTTTAATCCTTTCTCTATATCTTGGGCATGGCTGTCTTTTTGTGTTTTGCTTTGATTCGATTCTGGACTGAAACACTTTGTCTTTCATTCACGTAATAGTTTTGATCTATTCTTAAATGTTTTATCCCAGAGGAGCTCCTGCAGACCAGGCTTTAGTCTCTAAAGGTATTTCTAACTTGACAGATTCATTAGATCAAAATCCCTTCCTGGTCCTGCCATCATGCTAATGAGGAGCAGTTAGCTGGTGTACAGTAGTTGTAATGTTTACTCTCTGTTTTAATGTTAGTAGGGTTGCACATCATTTTTAATTTTTGGTTTCTTGTTTTGATTCGGATTTCTATTGATTCTTAATTCCAATTTTTTAAGAGTAAGAATCATAAAAATGTACATGTTATAAATGAGCTAGCCTCCCTTCTTCTGTCTGAATGAAATTGGCTGAATTTGTAAATTAAATCTAATTCCTTGAATATCTTTCTTAGTGTAAAACCTTCTATAACTTGTCACAGTTATTTTTCAACCAGTGTGTAAATATCCAACCCTTTAGCTCTGATATAAATCCTGTGAATTTTCTTTTCACAGCGCAGTAGGAAGTCATCCTGACAGAGTTTATATCTTCAATGTCATTTATAACAACTCACCTCCACTCAACTAGACGTGAAAGACGTGATGTTTTACATTTAATGGACAGAGGAACGATTACATTCAGGGCTGGTGCTAATGATTATTTTGCAAATCGATTAATCCGTTTGTTTGTTTTTTTTGTTTGTTTGTTTTTTTTTTTTGCTTAATAAATGGATGGGAAAAGATTATTTAGAGAAGACTTTTTTGGAAATTAAACAAGGTGAAACTCAAACATTGCCACTCGTGTTCTGGAAGAAAATGTTTTTCTTTAACTTAACTACTATGTTGTTTTTTTGTTTTTTAACTTTTGTGCAACCTTGGTAAAGGGTTGCTCTCTTGGTTAAAGGCAGAGTCTCTATACTCTAGTTAATGATTAATTGATTAATGATGTTTCAGCCCTAATTACATTTCAAACTCAGCCATTCAGTTAATGGGCTTCATCATATGAAACAGATGCCAAAGAACTAAAATAAACAACGGATGGACTTAAAATTATTAATAAGTTTGTTAGATTTATGTTAAAGTGCCTTTCATTCTGTACAGAGTGCATAGAAAACCTGCACTTACCTGCACTTTAAAAAATGAAATAGTCTAGAGAGCTGTACTTAACAAAATGTCTTTTAGTTTACACTTGTGTATACAAAATGACAAAATAAAATCTAAGTCTAAGGAACAAGGCGGGTATCTGTTAACGGTAAGAGGAAGAAACTATAAAAAAGGCTCTGCTCTTCCTGCAGAAGCTGCGCAATGAATTAAAAGGAGGAACAAATTCCTTCAGGGAACCTATCTTGGCACAACACGGGTGGAGTGGCTCAAAAGTTAGGCTCCATCCAGATTCAGACAGTGATTATGTTGGTTGTGCGCTTTTCTTTGCGTTATTATTTGCATTTTGTCTTTGCATTATATATTAGTCTACTAGTCCTTTACCTAGCTTTAAGCCACACCTTCGACTGCTGCATCACAAACACATGGCTATGCACACACTGCTGCAGATTCTTCTTCGCTGATATAAGGCAGCTTCTATTTCAGTGCAGTGGACTGCGCATCTGTAGGCAACCCTAACCTTAACCCCAGGAATCAAAGATAAAAAAATGTAAACTAATTCAATTGAAATGTTAGAACTGGTTCTGGTTTATCGATTCCCGATGCCCTACCCCAGATGGTAGTTGATAATTCAAGTGGTTTTGTTTAAAGCTGCATGGAAAGATTCAGAGGCTAAAGCGGTGCTGAAGCTAAGCAGCAAATACTGTCTAGAACCAACTTGAAGCAGAATGATCTTTACATTGTTTAAAGATTTTTTTTGTCACAAGTCACCAATATTATTTCCTTACATCATGCAGCTCTTACCCCGTTCAGACAATAAATGTTGACTAAACTTGCTGGATATTAATGTTTTGATTGGACGCTAAAGAAATGTCTTAGATGTGCATCTTGGAAATCCAGCTGATTATCTGATCTTTCTGATCCAGGGAGTTGGACCTGACTGCCCAATGCATCATCAAGATGGAAGGAACCAAGACCAGCATCACCAACCTGAAGGTTTGTTTGTTTCTGAGATGGTTCTAATCTACTCGCTTGTTTTGAACTTTTAAAACGTGTATATTTTATGTGAAGATCCCAGATGGAGTGTTGGGAGACTCGATGAGGGAGCGGACCAAGACCTTCACCTACGACTTTTCCTATGACTCGATGGACTGTAGGAACTCCTTGTTCGTCTCTCAGGAAAAGGTGAGAGCTGCTTATTTTCCCTTTGTAGTGTTTGTTTAATACGCTCTTTGGTTTAACTATGACTCTTAAGAACATCTGGCTTCCTTTTCTTCAGGTTTTCAGAGATTTGGGCTCTGACGTCCTGAAGGCGGCCTTCGAGGGCTACAATGCTTGCGTGTTTGCCTACGGTCAGACCGGCTCTGGGAAGTCCTACACCATGATGGGAGTTCCAGTAAGATGATGGAATATTTCTAGATGCTGTTGTCCATTAAAGGCTGCAGTGTTGAGCCTTTGTGGCTGGACAGAGAGTTAAAATGATTGATCTGTAGATGATTGATCTGTCTGTTCGATGAAGTGCTCGAGTTTGAGGGACCAAGCATGTTTTCAGATAAAGATAAGAGCAGAGAGGAAGAGTTTGTTATTTACAGAAATCTCTGTGTCATCAGTTTGTTTTTCTACCAGGAGAAGGACCAAGTGTTGAAACACTAAATCTCCTTTAAACTTCTCAAATATCTCTATAGACTTTTATATTTGGCAAAATGTCTCTTAGAAAATAGAATCCTTTATGACTACAACATTGATTGATTAGCAGACTGACTCCGCAGTAGTTCAGCGCCACTGCATCTATAAGCCTGTAGACTATTTTCCCTGAAGGTTCTGTGGGTTTGAAGTTTCCTCACTGTTTGGATATGATTTCTAGCATGTCCATGTTAAAGGAATAGTACACCCAAAACATGATTAGCCTTCATTTTCTACTCACCCCCATGCTGAACAACACTCTGGAGTACTTTTTTGATATCTCAAATGCATCTGGAGATCTGGGAGGCTTCTTGCTGTCTGGTGACATTCAAATAATGGAGGTCCATGGCGCCCGAGGCAGAAAGGTCCATAAAAGTCCACAAAAAACGTTTCAATATTCCTCCATACTGCTCGTCCAATGTATTCCAAGTGTCCTGAGTGGGTAGCATCCAGAATTTACTCGAAACGAAGCCATTTAGAATGTTTTTAGAGCATAAACAGTAGTGTATAGGATTTCCTAAAAGCGCGTTCACGGCGCTACGGAAACCGCGGCAGACCAACCCAGACGAAAGTGCGCATTCAGCTCAGCAAAGAACTCATGCTCTTCCTCAACACTGAAGTCCTCAGACATTTTTCTTTCGTTGTTACTTTCTTTGCACAGGTAAACAGCACATTTCTTCTTCTACGCTTGCATTATTGGCAGAGCAGACGCTGAATGCGCACTTTCATCTGGTTTGGTCTGCCGGCTTCCGTAGCTTCATGAACGCGCAGGTGCGCGCTTTCAGGAAATCCTATACACTACTGTTTATGCTCTAAAAACATTCTAAATTACTTCGTTTCGAGTAAATTCTGGATGCTACCCACTCAGGACACTTGGAATACATTGGACGAGCAGTATGGAGGAATGTTGACACGTTTTTTGTGGACTTTTATGGACCTTTCTGCCTCGGGCGCTGGGCACCTCCATTATTTGAATGTCAGCAGACAGCAAGAAGTCTCTCAGATCTCCAGATGCATTTGAGATATCAAAAAAGTACTCCAGAGTGTTGTTCAGCATGGGGGTGAGTAGAAAATGAAGGCTTATCATGTTTTGGGTGTACTATTCCTTTAAATGGGTCCAACCTAGCAAACAGTAGAAACATTATATTCAAGATGGATTTTGTGGATACTCAGATGTGACCAGCATCCAGCTCAGCACAGACACCAATGGCATCTCTAGGTAAGGTAACAAAACAAAACAAAAAAACCTGGAGCATGAACTACGAGAATGAGCTAAAGAGTGCTGCAGGTCAATGTTTTGGCCACAAGTGGCAGTGTCATTAGAAAACTGCCAAAAGCAGCGTGGATGGTAGCTTGTTTGGAGTCTTTATCCTGCTGGAACATCCACTGTGTCCAGGTTTCAAACATCCTTCTGCATTCCTCCTCTCTTGTTCCATCCACCTTCTGCGGTAGATCAGAAACAAAGGTAGCCAAACAACCCACAGCTTTTTAGTTCATTTTGGCTCCTCAAAAACGTCCCTCTCATCAATGAGACTAAACTACCTTGTCTTTTCTGAGCATAAAACAATCTTCCTGTGTGAGTCTGGCCTGTGTGAGGCTGCAGGTTACCTCCAGTCCATAGTGATGGATTAACACTGTAGTTCACAGCAGGTTGGTTCCTTTCATTTGCTCTGGACTATTTGGATCTAATTCAGACCTTTGCGTTGCAGAATATTAATTTAGTTCAGTTTATTTTGAAAGCACAAATATCATCTCATTAGAGTTTACAATAGGGACAGATTAACAAACCAAGGACAGGTTTCCATTCAGTTGTTCAGAAATGACACCTTGAACCGATTTAAATCTACACTTCTCATGGATCCACATGGAGAACCTTGAATCTCTATCGTCTTCCCCCCAATTGTCCAAATCCCAGCTCTAATGCTTAGAGAGTCTACCAGCTGTACTTTCATGATTGAGTGCCGTTTTTTATTACGGTAGATCAGGGTGATGGCACCCAGGCTCAGGAATAACACTGCGAAAGCTTATTTGCCGTATTTGTCTTATTGGCCCTTAATTTGAACAGATAAATGAGATGGAATCTGTATCTTTGGCCTTAAAATAAGATTATTAGATATTATTCTCCTGAAATTAGATAATTTAGTTTTTTCTTACTTTAAACGTAAATCGTTTTTTCTACCAGCAAATTGTGTCACTTATCTTCATAAAACTAGAGGAAATACACTTGAAAACATTCACTCACACTGCAAAAATGACGTAGAAATAAGTACAAATTTCTTAAATCAAGTATATTTACTGATTGAGTATTTTACGGATTGAGTATTTTACTATTTAAATAAGACAATTAGATAATATGTGATGAAATAAGTTAATGCAGTTGTGTTTTCTTATTTTAAGTATAAATCGTCTTGTTCCATTGGCAAAGGGTCTCACTTACCTTCTCAATTCAAGAAAAAATGCACTTATTTTAAGAAAAAAATTAATTATTTAGATTTGATTTCTTTTTGCAGTAAAGTGTTCTTTGGTCCTTCATGCCGTCACTGAGCCTCTTAAAAACAAACTAAGGAGACATTTGTTCTTTGAAGCTTTTAATATTTACGCACACAGCACTCAATTAGTGAGATAAGACCTTCTGGAAGCTCAGTTTGTGGATCTACATTAAAAGCCAATAAACCATCAACTTGTTTATGGTCCATTTCATTTGTTCAGGAGCTTATTAGGCTCTGGTTTACATGGCTTTAAGCCTTCTGGGATTTACCCACATGTTTTTGTAGTTCAATGGACCAAATTCATTCTTTGGATTGTTTGATGAGTCAAAGGTCTCAGTATGTCCTAATCTTAATGTTTGAATAACTGAGATGATTGACTGCATGTGGCGCTTCCTCATGTTTCCTTCAGCCTAATCAGCTCTCTGCTCAGGCTGTCCTTCAGTGAACCCTCAGTGAACATGTTGTTGTTTACTCTGATAAGCAGGAGTAAACAAGCTTCGGTTGTTTACTGAAGAGCTCTCCTCTCTGCAAACAGACAGCAGGGGAGATAATTTAATCAGATTGGAATGAGTCCATTTACTAATCTAAAAACAAACAAGAATAATCTTGCTGTTGATAAAACTACAATAAAAGATAAAGGTTATCCATCATTTCTGAAGGAAACTTTCATTTAGAGGCTCTAGCAGCCATGTGCCTCTGATTTGATCAAACCAGGTTGTTATTTTGGAGGAGTTGCTCTTACATGAGCTGAGGTTAAATCTGGAAACCTGACCTGGGGTTCAACATAGGTTCAGCATTTTCTTCAAGAGACTCAGCTCCCTGAAAATGGAACAGTGTCATCAACTTTGGATGTGTTGATGTCAAACAGCAGGAACTCTGTTTCTGGAAAACTCATTCACAACTAATATAGTCTCAAAGCAATTTACAAAAATCAGAAATGGATAGTCATTTTATTCCAGTCAGAGTGGTTATTAAGTCTACCTGCTGCTGAGAGGGAGGATCTAAGGCAATGCTTCTATGATGCCCCAAGGTTCTTCTCCTGAAGGAGCTCCCCAGCTTTGGGACAGCTTTATGCATGTTTTTGTTTTTGCTTTAGTTGTTGTTTCACTCCACCTGCCAGGATCCAGGAAGCATCTTGGAACAGAGCGGTCCTTCCTGATGGGCTCATCCAGTGAGCTCTTCCTCTCAGTGGTAGCTAAGCTACTGCTATAACAGCAGCACAGAACAGGCCTGATGCCATACAGTCAGTATCATCCATGCATGGATGAGCAGATGGTGTCTTGTCACTCACTTTGCATGCAGCGACAGGAAAGGAAAGGAAAACTCCACTTTAGCAGAAAGGAACATTCAGCAGAACCTGAATGGTAGTTCATTTGCAGAATCCAAATAATATAGAAGGTAGAAATGATGATGGACAAAACAAAAAAAAGATATTTATCAGCATCATGGCCAAATTATTGTGGGAGGATTTTAAAAAAGGAGATGAGGGGGAAGTTTCTATCACAGGAAGTTACCTGCTGATCCCGATTAATGGCTGATGAGTTTTCCCTTCTGTTTCAGGGAGATGCAGGCCTCATCCCGAGGATCTGTGAGGGTTTGTTCACTCGAATCTCGGATACGACTCGATGGGACGAAGCTTCATTCCGAACAGAAGTCAGGTGAGCTCACCTCTAAAGTCTGCCCGCTGCAGAGTAACTGTCCATGGATATCTGACTCAGTGAATGAATCGCCAAAGCCAACTTTATATACAATATAACATCTATCATATGTAAGCAATGAAACACAAAGCAGACACCTTAGAAAAGGTTTAAGCTATAAAAGGAGCTCCCAGTGTGCTGGCAGTGTGGGATGGTGTCATTATAAAAGCTCATAGAGGCAGGGTGGGACGAGGCCATCTAAGGATTTATAAGAAAATAAAAGAATCCTTAAATGGACAAAGCCTGTAGGGTGAGGCTTTTTTTCTTTCTTTTTTTATGTTAGAACTGTTAAGTCTCTGGTGATTTAAAAAAATATATAGATTTCATCACAGATGTGATCCATAAGCTCCATTAATTGTTTGGATGTGGTTTTTAGTCCCACACATTCATTCTCTCTCTTTTTTTTTTATCTGCAAAACTGAAAGTGAAGTCTCAATCTAACCAATGCTACTAAAGACTGCACACATGGACAAAAGTCCGACATTTGCTGGTCAATCATTGTTCTGATGAATTATATTTTTCACTCAGTGACTGCTAGCAGCTTCAGTTCTTGTCTGTGTTTTTCTCAGAAGTGGAGCTGTGGGATCCAGAAAACATGGCCTCATCATGGCGACTACTGAGCTTTTTTACTTTGTCTCATTCACTAAAGACGGCGGAATCAGAACCTGATCAATTCTAATGAATAAACGTCCAGTTTCCCCTCAGTTCAGCCTTGAACACACTGAATCCAATTTTGTGTCTGAACCAACAAGATTGTGTCGAACGAGGTTGTGGAGTTTAACACTCGTTAGCAGTCAATGGGGATGATCACACCCAACACAATTTCCTGCAAGAGGACTTGGGTAGACTTACTGAGATAGACTAAAGGTCTATTTTAGTTGAGCTAAGGAACAATTTGGCTGCAATCTTATGGGTCTGACAGGAAGAGAGACACGGTTACAAATTAAAAACATGTCTGGTTTGGGGGAAAATGCTAAATAAAATCTGTTAATCACACAGGGAAATAATCAGTTTTGGCGTATATAGTAAGGGGGGCAGACTCATGCAAAAACAATGCGTGAAACATAAAAAATATACTTTACCCACGATAAGAGTTCAGGAGGACAGAAAGAAGATAAAGTAGTGATTCCCTTGGAGCCTCACAAAAAAATATTAGGGATGGTACAGGAAAGAAAAAAACAACAATCAAAACTTCAGGAGGACAGAAAACCAATATAGTAAAATAGTGATCCTCTTTGAGCCTAAAAAACTCCAAATAATGAGCAGACAGAGCAGGTTAGCGTAGCTCTTCAGCGTTTACTCTTTATTAAAAAAGGAAAATGAAAACTGTGATCAACTTCACAGATCTTTCCCTGAGAATCACCTCTCACTGCCACAGCCTGCATATAAGCTGTCCCACAGTATTTATTGCTGTGTTTTTACTTTTCTTTAAACATGGTTCCCATTATATTTTTAATATAGGCCTATACAATCTGTCCAGGTCAAATGTGGAAAATAGTTTTAATTTGTGTGGGACAGAGACAGATCTGCTCACCTTACCAGGTCGGACCCTCTGTATACGCAGTCAATGTGTCATGGAAAAAAAATCGGATCGAGATTAAAAAGTTGTACGTGACCCGGAGTTTACTCCGATCCAGTGAGGCCTGATGCCCTGAACTTCTGTTTGTCCGATCCTTCAGCTACCTGGAGATCTACAATGAGAGGGTGAGAGACCTGCTGAGGAGGAAGTCTACCCACACCTACAACCTGAGAGTACGGGAGCACCCCAAAGACGGGCCCTATGTGGAAGGTAAATCCAGTTTCCTCATAGTGGTGATTTGATTTATAAAAAGATTATTTTTTCTCTTCTATTTTTTATTTATTTAATTTTTGTTTCTAACATCTTTCGTCGCTCTGGTCTGACCTCAGATCTGTCCAAACACCTGGTGCAGAACTACAGTGATGTGGAGGAGCTGATGGAGGCAGGAAACATCAACCGAACGACCGCCAGTACAGGCATGAATGACGTCAGCAGCCGCTCACACGCCATCTTCACCATCAACTTCACACAGGTCAGTGAAAGGAGCAAATGTCAGGCTTCCATGCAGAGCCTGATAAATGGATTCTGTTCTTTAAGATTCTGGTTGATGAAACAAAGAGTAAGAATTATATTCTTCCTGTTTTGGTTGTTTAAAAATTTGCTGATTTAAAAAGTTTTGTAAATGTCTCCTTTTAGGCCAAGTTTGATGCCGAGATGCCAAGTGAAACGGTCAGTAAGATTCATCTGGTCGATCTGGCAGGCAGCGAACGAGCCGATGCCACCGGAGCCACTGGCGTCCGATTGAAGGAAGGCGGGAACATCAATAAGTCATTAGTCACACTTGGAAACGTCATCTCTGCTCTGGGTCAGAAACATGAGCGTCTTTAATGCTGCTGATTGTGGTGAATATCATGGTCCGTTTCTGACTTGCTTTTCTGTCTTTGGTTCCAATCAGCTGATATGACGCAGGAGAGTGCAAACACCAATCTGAAGAGGAAGTCCGTCTTCGTCCCTTACAGAGACTCTGTGCTGACGTGGCTCCTGAAGGACAGCCTGGGTGGAAACTCCAAGACCATCATGATCGCAAGTGAGCTCAGAAAACCCCCCTCTGACCATCCCAAACTCCCCTGACCATGTTAGAAAAAAAATCTGATCGCCTTGTCATCACAGCCGTCTCCCCTGCTGACGTGAACTACGGTGAGACGCTCAGCACTCTGCGTTACGCCAACCGAGCTAAGAACATCATCAACAAACCTACCATCAACGAGGACTCCAACGTCAGGCTGATCAGAGAACTGCGATCTGAAATCGCACGTCTGAAGGCTCTGCTGGTTCAGGGTAACCAGGTAATTCACAATGCAAAGATGCCAACTAACCAGGTGGAAAGTCAGATTTAACTCCAAATAACTGGTTTAGTTGGATATCATCTGAATAACAGGGGATATATATATATATATATATATATATATATGTATGTATGTGTATATGGCCCCAGCACTGAACTCTGAGGTTCTCCACAATATTTTTTCCAGAGTGCCAGATCGTTGTCAGTGTTACAAAACAAAACTGATATGCAATCATGTCTTCAGAACAGGGAGCAAGACCAGCTCTACAGGGCCACTGGCCCCTGTTGGCCCCTGTCTAGAATCACCCATTTATTGTTTTGTCTTCCCCTACAGCCGGGGGGTAAAACATCCTGTTAATATTTCTGATTTATCTCAGAATTCATCCCATTTTCGTCTGTGTGGTGCTGACCTTCCTGTTACATGTTTTCAGCAGTTCTTCAGGCGTTCTGGAGGCAGGAGAAGTGCCCTCTGGAAAACTTACAGCTACTTTTTCCATCCAGCATCATGAAAGGGTTTCATTCAGTTAAATAAAGCACTAGTGTAAAGATATCAAAATATCAATAAGTTTTGATATATTAGTCGTTTTTTTATACCAAACACTGAGTAGCAAAGTAAATAGGAAAACGGATCCACTTAACATTAACATCAGCATCGTAAAACTCGCTCTTTAGAGGCAGAGATTATAAAAACAAAATGAGGTCAAATAGGTGTGTTAATTTGTACTAGTTTAACACGTTTGTGTTTGAACCCTCAGATTGCTCTGCTGGATTCACCCACGGCTCTGAGTATGGAGGAGAAGCTGCACCAGAATGAGGCCAGGGTAAGTCGCACAGTTCCTGCTGTCCTCACATGAAAGGCTGATTAAACAGGTGTGCCACTGCAAGAACTTTCATCCGAAAAGTATGGGTTTTAAAAAATTGGGGTAAAGGCAAACCTTAAACTAAACATGTAGAAAATAATTTTTTATTAATAAGTTTTTATGTTTTCCTTCAGTTTTTCCATTTTTAATTCCTTTCTGCTCTTTATGTTTTAAATTTCTGCAACACTGACGGTCCGTTGTCGTTACTTCAATCCCAGAGCGTTAAATCTACTGCAAGTTGAAACTCTGGGTGGTTTTTGTTCGCAGGTTCTGGAGCTTACAAAAGAATGGACCAACAAATGGAATGAGACTCAGAACATCCTAAAGGTGAGACTCCGATTTGTTGGACTGGATTATGTACCAGGTTCAGTTTTAAATATTTAAGAACTTTTTGTGAATGTTTGTGATGCTGCAGGAGGAAACTCTGGCTCTCAGGAAAGAAGGAATCGGAGTGGTGTTGGACTCTGAGCTGCCACACCTCATCGGCATCGATGACGACCTTCTCAGCACCGGCATCATCCTGTATCACCTTAAGGTGATGCCAGACAAAGTGTTTCAAATCTGAAATGAGTTTGAAGGAATTTCCCCAATCAGGTATGAGGTGTTTGGGTTGTTCAGGACATGTCTCTATGTTTTGACCTCAGGAGGGACGTACATACGTGGGCCGAGAGGATGCATCCACCGAGCAGGACATCAGTAAGTCCCCCTCCTGTTGCCTGATTAATCCAAGTCCAGTACAAGTTCTGTTTTGTAGATATTCTGTTCTCCTCCTGCAGTTCTGCACGGTCTGGACCTGGAGAGCACACACTGTGTGTTTGAGAACCAGAGCGGGACGGTTACCCTGGTGCCGCTCGGAGGAGCTCAGTGTTCTGTTAACGGGGTTCAAGTGACAGCACCGTCGCAGCTCAACCAAGGTGAGGCACCACCTTTAAAGTGATACTTCTGGGTTTTTTCAGGTCTCCATGCATCTCAAGCTGCTGATTTGGTGTATAGTTCTAAACGGATGGATCTGGATGTTTTCGTTTGTTTTACCTTCTGTTGGTGGTTTAGGAGCCGTTATCCTGCTGGGCCGGACCAACATGTTTCGTTTCAACCATCCGAAGGAAGCAGCCAAACTAAGGGAGAAACGGAAGGTGAGTGCAGGGGAGTCCAGAGTTCTTTGATTTGCTTTCAGTCGGAGCAATGTAGTGACTCTGGTGTCTCCTTAGAGCGGCCTCCTGTCATCGTTCAGCCTGTCCATGACGGATCTCTCCAAATCCTGTGAGAACCTCTCCACTGTGATGCTCTACAACCCGGGGTGAGTCAGTGTCCCTCAGCACTTCATCCTGCTGCATCCCAACATAGACCCTCCTCCACCTCAGGCCTCAGCAGATTTAGCTGTGGTTCATTTATCTGGTTGGCTAAATGAGACACACCTGACTGACAGGTGGGGGCGTGGTTCACTGAAACGACCTGCTGCCTTTAATTCAACATCAGATTTATTGGCTCATCAGCTGACAAAAGTTCACTAAGCTGAGGCATCAAGTTTCCCTGATGGAAACTTTAAAGAAATCAGGAGGAACAGAATCGGCCTATTAAATAAGAATAACAATAGAAATACGTTTTTAATTCTGTAATTTGAATCAAAATAATTTATATTCTATAGATTCAATTCAACCAGAGAGGCTCATTGCAGATTGTTTTTATCCTCTATTGATTTTTAAAATATTTTTTACAGCTAATATAACCCTAAATTATATATATATTGTTAAAACAAAACTGGAGGATTAAATCAGACCAATAGGTTTTTATCTGTTACGATCCATCATCCACTATGATGGTGAGCTCTGACTTGGCCAGTGTGAAGCCAAACCTGAACTTCAGAGAATATTTGAAGCATCTTATGTGAGACTCTTGCTCATCTTTCCAAAGTCCTTTAATTTCTTTTGCAAAGATAATTTTTTTAAGATTAAAGGTTTAGGTTAAAGGTCTGGAGGAAGAAAATCAACTTCTCTTTGAGTCTAGTGTTAAATTTCTACAGTCAGTCGTGACTACAGTGCCATCAGGAGAGGCTGTTATGATTTCTCACCCACATCAGTAGATTATCTAATTTTCCAGCAGGACTTGGTACCAGCTCACATTGCCAGTGGAACCAGCAATGCCTTAAATCACTATAGTAACCACTGCAAACTGGTCCAGCTGAATCTTCCGGGTATAAAGAGAACGAGTCTTGAATTAAAAAGGCAGACAAGCTGAAGGCTATAAAAGGCACCAGGGCTTCCCTGACCTCTCAGCAGAAGCAAAGGTTGACCTCCTCCATGCTAAAATGCATTGATGGTAGGATTCAGGCAGAAGGCCAGACTAGGTAGAAGGCAGATACTGAACATGGACATAAAGTTCAGTAGGGTCGTAATACTTGTTTGTTTATATTTTTATTGATGGGATGTAATAATGCAGTCTCCTGAGAAACTAGAGCCCCGTTTACACTACCCTCTAAAAAACCGGTCCGTGCCGAGCTTGGATCAGTTAACCGTGCCAAGCTCGGTTCCTTAACATTCAGGAAGTTTGTGGAGAGTCGGGAGAAGAAGGCAGGCTTTGGTGAATATACCTGATGGAGTCTGCTTTTGGGAAGTGGATACGACAAAGGATCTAACAAATCAGGGCTACAGACGCAGGAAAATACAACTGGAGTTGAGGTTCATCGCAACGCAGAATCATCACTGGAAGTTGTGTGGATCGGTACGGAAGCTTGTATTTTCATGAATGTCAAAAATGTTATGATTAGGGAGGCTGTTAAGAGATGACGTGCTCTTCTCATGCCCTCTTTGTTATCTAAGAACTGAGCCAGAACTGGACCAAGCCTAGCTCTACTGATGAACTAGTACGTGGTTCGGTTGGGTCTGTCGCAGTCCGGTTCAGATATGTGTGCCATTTACAGGTAACAGTTATTTCGCTTAGATCTTGACACGATTTCAAAAGGGTAGTGTAAATAAGGGCTTATTTTTCTGATTTTAGTTGTTCATGGTTTGTTAAAGTCTCTGGTAGAGGGCCGGGGAATCAGAACCTTAAAGAAACACACTAATTCTTTTGGAATTGGGACCAAATGTGTGTCTGGTTTTAGAAACAACCCAAGATGGCCTAAGAGAGCTGAGCTGGAAACCTAAAAAACTGTGTGAGTTTCTCTATGGGAATAATTTAGGCTAGCTACGGTTGAAGTAAAGTTCTGGAAGAACATTAAAATGGCCCAAATGCTGAAAGTCTGCAAGGCAAGTTAATTTGTATAGTACAGTTCAGTACAAGGACAATTCAAAGTGCTTTACACAAATTAAATAATATAATAGAAGAAAAATAGGAGCAGAACTATTGCAAATAAAGATAAAAGCAGGTAGTAAAACATTTTGACCACAACCTTAAACTAGTAATATATCAGTTAACATTTAAACTCAGAAAAGAGTCGAAAGCAGCTCTAAACAAGTAGGGTCTTAACTTTGACTTAAAAGAACTCAGGCTTTCAGCACTTTTACAGTCTATACAAATCTGTATGTATTTTGGTGCTGATCCATTCAGTGATTTATTTACTAACAGAAGGATTTAAAGGTTTTTTTCTCTAAATAAAAGGGAGCCAATGCAAGGACTTCAGAACTGGGCTGAACTTAGAATGTTCTCTACTTTCTAAGTTCTAGAGAGAAGTTTTTCTAGCTCCTGCTTATGCATTAGTCATTTAATCCTGCAAATGATCTTCATGTTATAACAGGCTGACTCAGACCTGAACCTTCAAAGGCACGTAAAGGGAGTTACTGAGTCCATCATGACACCAAGATTTTGGCCATAATCAGTGGTTTCTAGCTGTACTAGCTGAAGCGGTGAGGTAAAGCTGGATCTCTCCTTGATTGGTTTGAAGATTATTACCTCAGTTTTGTTTTTATTTAGTTGGAAAAAACATTATGTTGCATCCACTTATTGATCTGTTATAAGCATCTAGCCAATGGGCTCATAGTCACCTGGTGACATTTTCATGTAAAGCTGGTTATCGTCTGCATATTTATGGTAACTGTTCTTTTTTGCTATAATCTGAGTTTAGGGGATAATGTAGATATTCAATAGAAGGGACCCCAGAATGGAGCCTTTAGGAACTCTACGTGTGGTTTTTCTGGTCTCTGAAGTTCCATACTGACACATAGAAGTCCCTACCCTTCAGGTAGGATTTAAACCAGACCAGAGCGGTATCAGAAAGGCCGACCAAGTTTTCCTGGCACTGTAGTCAAATCAAGTGATCAACAGTATCAAATGCTTCATTGAGGTCAAATAATATCTGCACTGTGGTTCTTCCATGGTCTGAATTTATACGGATGTCACAAAACACCTTAATCGGGTCTAGGGATGGGGATCGAAACCCGGTTCCATCAAGGACCCGGTTCCACTTTTTTCAAAACCCGAAAATCAATAACGTTTGGGCTTATCGATACCACTATCGAGTCTGGTCGTTTTTTTTTTTTTTTCTCCCGGAGGTCCTGTAACATAATTGTGTGTCCCTCGAGTCGCGTCACAGCATTTAAATCAAATCAATCCAATCACTGCAGCATGACCACCAATATTTTGGAATGAAATTGTAAGCAAACAGATATTAAAAGTAAAACAAGTGAAGTCTGGCACTTAACTTTGCTCGCGACTCGAGGATGGCTGAACAGAAAAGACTCCTCCTGCTGCTGCCGCCGCACCACAGTGGGGCCCGTCTTCATCATCCACTCAGAGTACCACTGGTAAGCGCGCACACAGACTTTGTAGCTTGACCGGTCAGTAAAAAAATAGTAATTGTGAAATTCGTGTTGTAATCGGAAGCATACAAGCTAGTTAGCTTGAAAAGTAAATAAAGTTTCAGACGTGCTGCATGATGATGTGTTCAGATTGGCTCAGTAAAACGACAATTAGGTTATCATGATGTGTTCAAGTGTAACGTAAAGAAAAGGGAAATTGAGTTTTTAGCGAGAAACATGAGTAATACAGTTGTATATTGCTCTAATTATTTTAGAATATACCGTATAATTAAACTACTGATGCCAACATTTATTAAAAATTACATTTAATTTAAAATACAATTATTTATTTGTTAAATATTTTCCTAATCACTAAAAACATGATGAAAAGTGACAGTAGACAATAAATTAACCAACAATTGTGAAAATATATTCTAGTTAGTTTTATGTCATTTCGAAGTGGCCTATTACATTAGCCATGTTTATTGAAGGCTAGAAACGTTTTTGTTGAGCTCACTTGTTAAGCAATAAAAGCAATACCAGTTCTGCTAAAAAATATTGTTGCATCGTCTTTCCACCAAATAACAGAAAAGTATCGATAGTGGTATCGATAAAGACTCGGATCGATAAGGAGTATCGATAAAGGTATCGATATCAATAAATGTTAACGATCCCCATCCCTAATCGGGTCAGTCTCTGTACTGTGGTTGGCACGGAAACCTAACTGTAAGACATCAAAGCAAACGGTCATTGTTAAGAACGCATTTAAGGGGAGGTTTGAGATGGGCCTGTAGTTTTGCAGGAAGCAAGTAAAGATATGAATGAGGAAAGTTGTGGTGAGGGAAAGGGGGAAAAAAAGAAAAAAAAAACAGGGCAGCTTAAAAACTGATTTATTCAACTTTTTTGTTGTTTTTTTATCAACTCAAACCTTAAATCAGATGATCAAATTCTTTCACCTTAAAGTTATTTTAATCCTGTTTGTAATTTTCAAAATGTTTGACATATTTTTAAGATTTTATCTTTTATTAGAGAAGAAAATAGGAAGGACTTTGAGAATTCAGATTAAATCTGAAAATTATGCAATGAGTAAAAGAAAAACCCATTTTATTTTACATTTTTAGTTTAGTTTTTTTGGTTTTTCAGAATTATGCAAGTCTTCGTGCATTTCTGAGGTTCTTAAATTAAATTTGTATCTATCTTACTGTTTTATTTAAATATTTTAGATGAAAGGGTTTATTTTGTTCATCAATTAAAATACCTTTTCTATGTGTATATTCTTGGGGATTTATTTTTGGCTAAAGAATGAGAACATTTAGTCGAGATTAAAATGAAATTGAAATGTAAAGCAACTGAGAAAAATTCAGGAAGTTTTTTTTGTGTCACATTTATCTAATTTATAACCACCTTTTTATCCTGAGCTGATCTAAATAAACACCCAGCTTACGGATGAGGAATTAACTTTGTCCCCCCCTGTCCTGTTGACAGTCTCTTCACTCAGAAGGGCCCCGTCTTCCTCAGGTAGACTCAGTCGTCCACTTCTTGTCTAACTGTCCCGTCCTGACCCAAAGGCGTCTGTCGACTCGTCCACCTCACCCTCACTGTCTTATTTCATTTAGTCACATCAGTTTGCCGCTTTTGTCCTCTCTGTGACGTCCTACACTAGAGCCTGTGTCCATGCCTGGAGTTTCCCGTCAAGCTTGTTTTCTTTTTTCTTTGCTGCTTCCACTCACTCAGCTCATTTTTGTCCCCTGAGTGTCCGTCAGTTTTTGGGTAATGGTGCAGGAAGTTACCTGTGTTTGTTTCCTCAGGTTGGAGTTTGAACGGCAGCAGAGGGAAGAGCTGGAGAAACTGGAAATGAAAAGGTAAACAGGTTTTTGAGGAATTGCATCAGATTATCGACGGTCGATTGGTTCTTTATGAGCGCCAAAAGGGGATTTGCTTTACGGGTTTGTTTTTCTGCAGGAGGCTAATCAAAGAGATGGAGGCGAAGCAGCTAAGTGAAAAGGCGGAGCTGGAGCGCCTACAGCAGGAGGTGGAGAGTCAGCGCAAAGAATCTGAGGAGGTGCAGCAAAGGATCCTCCGTCAGGAGGAGACCCTTCGTCGCCGTAGCCAGGACATCGAGAGCCGTCTCCGAGACTTCTTGGCTGAAAAAGAGCGCTTTGAGGAGGAGAGGCGTTCTGAAATCCAGGAAGTGGAGCTGCAGCGCAGAAAACTTCAGAAGCTGCAGCAGGAGGAGGAAGAGGAGGAACAGGAGGTGAAGCGTCTGCAGCAGGAGGCTGCAGAGCAGACTGAGATCTATCGTGAGCTGGAGCGACTGAAGAGGGAGCGCGAGGAGCAACAGATCCGCCTGGAGATGGAGCGGCGGCGGCTGGAGGAGCAGGAGCGGGAGCAGCTGAGTCTTGTTGGGAGGCTGGAGGAGCAGCTGAGGGAGAAACAGGAGGCAGCCGCCGCCCTGCTGACCATGGAGGATGTCCGGCGCCTAGAGGAGGAGAGACGTGGGCTGGCTGAGATCAGAGAGGCGCTCCTGCGAGCCAAAGAGGCGGCTGAGCGGACGGACGTGGAGGACGCCAGCAAAGAGGCGCGCTCCGTCCAGAGGCAGTACACCGCCTTTAAGGAGGCTCAGGTGAAGGAGCTGGGAAATCTGGAGGAGGGGCTCCGACGGCAGAGGGACCTTCTGGAGAAAGAGGTGGCGGCAGAGAAGAGCACGCTGCTGCTCCTAGCCCACGGACTGAAGGAGCGGCAGCAGCAGCAGCTGAAGGAGGTGCAACACAAAGGAGCTCAGGAAACCACAGCAGTCTGTCAGGAGGAGCAGCTCCTGCGGCAGGCAGAGCACCGACTGCACTTCAAGGAGCGACAGCTGGCCAACCTGGCCGTCAGCCTCCTCCCTGCATTGGCGGAGGAGAAACAGAGGGCCGTGGAGGTGCTGGAGCGCAGCGCCGTGGAAAACGATGAGAATTGCGACGGCCCACCTGGACTGGACAACACGCTGTTCCAGGTGGAGAAGGAGCTGGAGGACAAGGAGGAGAAGCTGCACCTCCACTGGCACAGTGCCCAGCAGCTGCAGCAGCTCCAGGAGACCTATGAGTTTACGGCCAATGTGGCCCGGCAGGAGGAGAAGGTTCGGAGGAAAGAGAAGGAGATCCTAGAGTCAAAGGAGAAGCAGCAGAGGGAGGCCATGGAGCAGGCGGTGGCCCGGCTGGAAAGGAGGCACTCTTCTCTGAGACGCAGTGTCTCCCTGGATCCGGACACTGAGGAGCAAAGGTGTTCCATAAGACCTGGGGCTGAGCTGGACCAGCAGAGGTAGAGCCCGGTTCTTGTTCACATAAATCCACCCTCTACTTGGTCATGAATCTGTCCTCCTGTTAGGATGGACCCCATTGATAAAAGGTGTTTTTTGTTTTTTTTCCCCCACAGAGTGGAGCGTGAGATCCAGAAGCTGAGGCAGAGGATCAGCGAAGGTGAGAACCACAGCCGGACTCAGTCGGTCAGTACCGACGAGAAGACGGGCCTCACCAGCTCTCCGGTCGGCCACATCCAGGGCCTGAACCCACTGCTGCCGCTGTCTGATGACAGGTAGGGCTCTGGATCCTGGTGCTGCTCAGTCCCTCCTCTCTAGCTTTAGGCCCCCTTAAGTATAAACATTCCTCACTGATGTTTTTTTTTATTTCACTGCTGCTTCTGCTCCTCTGGAGCATTCAAGAAAATCGAGTCATTAACACTCTGCCTGTCTAGCAGAATAAACGCTTACATTGAGGAGGAAGTCCAGCGCCGGCTCCGCAAGATTAACCTCCTGAACGGCGGCAGTAGCATGGATCTGTCCCTGTCCTGTGAATCTCTCAGGGTAAGTTCCAGTTTTACCCTGGCAGAAAATCTGTGATTTCAGATCTGCTTCTGTTATTCTACCTGTGGACCTTGAAAACCTTAGTTCTGGTTTGAAGCTTCAAGAAGCAGCTGGTTTCCATTATTGAGGGAACAGATCATTTCCCTTACTGTCGTTATTAGCAGTAAAGATCTAGCAGGTGTAGAGATAATGTTTGTGTGCAGAACTGATCTTCAGCTCTTCAACTCTGCAGGACGACGAGGATATTAGCGACTGTAGCTCTGTTAGATTAACAGATGAGGTAAGACCAGGATCCATCAACCGTCGCTTGTTCCTGCCCCATAATCTGCATGAACCCTCTGATGATGATGATGGTTTTCCTGGGGTTAATTTGGTCCCACTTTTTATTGGATCGTGCTCCCTTCCTCTCCTTAATTCCAACAAAACAAAATAAAAACATAAAAAATTTAAAAAAGAGCTGATTTACAACAGCCTGTTTGTTTTATGGTGCCCTTAAGTTTTATTTCCATTTTTAGGAGGACGAGAAGCTGCAGAACATAAATCCACGAAGGCTGAAGTACGAGGTGAGACCTCAGTCTTATGAGCTTTGATTCTAAGATTTATCATTGCTGTAATTCTTTTATATTGCTTACTTTGCATGAAAAATGGTTTCAGATGCATGTTAATTCAAAAAGTCTGATGATTTTTCATCTCTTAAAGTTTTTAATGGCATAAAATTAATGACTGTTTTAACAGAATAGTTCATCTTTATTAGGAATAAAGTTAAACCTAACCTTGAAATTCAGCAATGTCCAACATAACCAATGATGCCATGCTGTCCAGATCAGAACCAGAAGTTCTGTGACTAACACTTGGTCTAAGCATAATTTTTTTCAGTCTTATTGAAATTGAGAATATTTCAGGCTATCCAGGCTTTGACTTCCATGAGAGGGCAGATCAGAGATTTTATGAACAGAAGACCCAAAGGCTACATATACATAACAAAAGTGGCCCTAGAATAGATCCCTGAGGGACTCTACAAATATGGGAGACACTTTGTTCTCTGAGCAAAGTAAGCTTGCTTTGTGTTAATTGCTGTTGATGGAGGGTAACATTGTGAGACTTTGGAAATCATCTAAATTATTTAGTCACCAGTCAATTCAATCCCTGTTTAGACAAACCACTGTTGTTTCTCGAAGAGCTGAGTTGTAATTTCAAACCCTGAAGCTGCTGGGTGTGCTCTGCCATGAATCTCTGAACCACATCCGGATTGAAGGAGAATGTAACCCCATCATTCAAAGGTTTAAAGTTATATCTTAAGCTTTACGCTGTGCTTATCAGCCATCTGCTGTTTGTTTATTGATGGGCGGACCTGTCTGATGCAGATGTGCTGCAGCAGCAGACTGTGTTCTTCATCATTCAGTCTGGAAGAAGATACAGTCCCTCTGTGAGACACATCCTGTGACTGTTTGTGAAAGGCTGAAACTCCCTCTTGAGCAGTTCTCCCAGACTTTCCTAACTGTGACCAGGAGGGGCACCTTAGGCTTAGTTTGAAAGTGTTTAAATAGTTATATGTTTAGAATAGCTAAAAACAACTGGATTTTAAACTAGTGTTGCGCCTATGCCATTTTTTGGCCCCAATACCGATACCTGATACCTGGCTGTGCAGTATTGGCCGATACCATCTGTTTGGAATTTATGTGTGTCTGTATATATGAAGAACTACATACTACTTGGATGTAAAATAATTGCCATCATGGCTTTGTCAAGCTGCTGCCTACCTTTGTGAAGCAGGAAAAGACTAATACAAAATGAATCCAGTAGAATTTTTTTATTGCCTACCTGGAATGGGTGTTAATAGTTGAATAAACTTTTGGCTCTCAAAATGGTATCGGTGCCCTATTTGTTGGTACTCGCGATACCAATACCACCATTTGAGTGCAGTATTGGGGCCCTGCCCGATACTGGCATCGGTTTCGGTGCAACACTACTTTAAACCTGTAAATAGAAACCAAAACAGATCCCCTGTCAAGCTTTTGGTTTGTTTGTTGTTTTGTTAGATTGTCAGCATTTTGACGTATTGCTCAGTGCATTAAAAGTTTGAAAAGTCAAATGGTAAATTAAAGTAAAATGTCCTCTGAAGTAGTTTTTCAAATGTTAAATCAGTTTGAGAAAAAAACTCTGGATGGAACTTCAGACAACTATCCAGATTTAAAATCAATCATCTTGAACATTAAGCTTAGGCAATTTTGTGCTTTAGGTTATTTAGTTTAGATATTTACTTTTTTTTAGGGTTAAATTAATTTTAATACGGGCTCAGATACATGCATACATGCTTTCATCTAAAACCTTCCAGCAGTAAAGGTTAAAGGTATTGGACTTTAAATCAATGATCATGAGGGTAGCTGTAGTTTCCTGCCATTTCTGGAATGACACTCAGAGCACTTCCCTACCTCTTAGGCATAGTTGCGGTAGCACCATGCTGCAGTTCAGTGTTATTGCTAGTCATACTGGGACATCCTTGGGTGATGCTGGGTGCGGTGGTGCCACAGGAGTGACTCGTGTATGGAGGTCTATGTCAATCCTCAACAAGACCGACCTTTGATCTAATCTTGGCCTGTAGACCAGGGTCCAGAACTTTTACACATATTTTCCCTCTTTTTTTAACCCTATCCTGTCATTTCCTGTCAGCATACTGACAAATGTCAATTGTGCCAAAACACAGGAGGTGGCCCATTGGAGGAGTACTTACAAATTTCAAATTAGGACCCAGTTGGTTTCCAAATGGACAATGAATGGATCCAAACTGGACCAGAGAAAGGAGGATAACACTAAGTTTCTGAGATAAGCTTCCAAAATATCTAACCAAAATTCCTACTGGGAATTCATGACCTTTGCTTTAAATCTGCGGTTGTGGAAGAAGCAGACCAGCTTAGTTTACCTTGTCGAGTTAAGATGGAGTTACCAGATTTTAGCCTGAATGGTGTCAGAAGCTTGTTGATGGACAAAAGATGTTTGGATGATGCCCGGCTTGTTAAGAGACATTTGAAAAACTTATGCGGTCTACCGTTTGTGTTTATCTTAGCCTGTGTCTTTGTATGTTAAACACACTTTGGGTTTACAAGTTTGATTTTCAGTCTTGTTTTAAGAAATTATGAGAGGCAAGAAAAGTTTCACTGATAAGACAGTTCAAAGTTGTTAATCTGTTCAACTGTAGGAAACTAACTACCGGTATTTAGATTAAATAAAAAAAATTCTATAAACACCCTACCAATGGCACTTCCTTCTAGTCATAAAGGCTAATTTATTTAAACTTTAGTTATTTCAAATCAACATTTGACTGAGAAGTAATTTTCTGCTTAATTTGCATGTCGACCTCTTCCCACTCTGTCACAATCTCTTATGTCTCACCTGTGCACCTGGTGATTGGACTGTAATTCTCATTGGGTGGATCACGGACTTCAGCTTAATTCACACACAGTTTCCATCCTTGCCGATGTAGTCATGGACTTCCCCCTTCTGCACACAGAATACCTGCTGGTCTAACCTCATGGACCTTCCGGGATTTGAGACAAGTTTACTCCAGGATGTCCAGAACGTGTTTGAAGAACCAAAGAATGAACTTGAGGAGCCTGAGAGAGAAAAAAAGCTCAAGTCCTTGGATAAACTCTTGATTGAAAAATACTTTGATAAAGAAAAATGGTGGGAAGGAGAAGTAAATATTCTTGCAGAAAATGGGCTCCGGGCTCTTTGTGGACCCGATTGTTGCTACAAAAGCCAAGAGAACAGACTGATTGGAAACCATAACATTACCAGTAACTGTAACAATTTCTACTTTGACTCTAATGACAAGAAGATGTTGAACAAACCATTTGATCACCATTCAGATAAATCAAACTATTATCAGATATGTGAGAAAGAAGGAGACAAAAAATCTGAATTTTCAAAGCCTCAAAGCTCTGATATCCCAAATCAAGAGGAGGAGACTAATGGGTCAATAAAACAAGAAGCAGAAAAAATATCAATGCTTAGGATAAATTCATTAGAGGATCTTGAAAATGTAAAGAATCAAGCTCAAAACATTCACAGACATTCAATAGAAGAACTTGAGCTTTTAAAACTGGAAAGCTCTGGCAAGGAGTTAATCAGGGCAGAAGAAGTTTCTAAAAAACACTCTATCAGCCCTATTAAAGAGGAAAGAGATTTCAAACCTTGCAGCCATAGTTTTGAGGATCAGAAAGAGCCCATTGTTCAAACCCAAACGCAGGAGAAGGGAAAAGTGTCAGAAAAGTCAAATTCTCAAATATCCTGCAATGATTTCGTCAGCTCTGCGCAGGATTCAAAACAAGAAATGTTGGACGGTAACAACCGCATTTTAGACCACTTTGAAAATGATGAGAATCAATCTAGTGTAATTGAGAGAGCAGACAAGTCTGAACTGTTAAAGCTGCAAAGCTCTGGGAGTGAGTTCATCATCTCAAAGCAAGATTTAAAAGAAGCCATAAACTGTCCAGTAAAGCAAGAGAACTCTGAGAATAAAAGCAGCGTTTTAGACAATCCTGAAAATGTCCAAAATCAAAGCCTTAGCCTGGAAGGCAAAGAAGAGAGGGAAAACGACAAAGAGGCATCAGTAAATCGGGGACCGTCTAACAGGAGCTACATTTGGGATTACATTTCTAAAGTCAAGAACCAAACTCTTTATCCGTTGACTATCAGAGAGTCCGAACTGCTCAAGTGGCTGAGTTCTGGTAGACACCATGTCGGCTCCAACCAAGATGTAAAGTCACTTGATGTGGAAACTGAAGAAGAAAAAAGCAATGCTGCAGGAAGGACTGGTTGGGGCTATGTCTGGGAAAATGTTTTTAAAGTTAAGAATCAAACTCTGCCCCCATGGATTAATGGAGAGCTTGAAATGCTAAAGCTTCTGAGTTCTAGCAGAGCTGAAAAAGGATCAGAAAACTCTGAGTTAACGGAAGTAACCAGCAGGAGCAATCTTTGGGATTATGTTTCCAAGATTAAGAACCAAACTCTACACCCATTGACTGATGGAGACTTTGAACTGCGCAGTTGGCTGAGTTCTGGTAGAGACTATATCAGCTCCAAACAAAACATAATGTCAGTTAATGATAAAACAGACCAAGAATTGGGTGATGCTGCAGATGGGGTTTCAGCTGGAAGAAGCTCTGTGTGGGACTATGTCAATAAAGTGAGAAACCAAACACTGTACCCATGGAGAGCCCAGGATTCTAAGCTGTCCATAGATCAGGCATCCTATTTACCCAACTCTGACGATGAGTCTGTTATGTCTGGGCTGAACTCAAAGTTGGTTGTGGGGGGAATGGGACAAGAAACGGTTAAATCTCCAGAAAGTGCAACCTCTAGCATGAGCAATCTTTGGGACTATGTTGCAAAGGTTAAAACACAAACCCTTTATCCATGGAGGTCAGATGAACCAGAGTGTCCACAGTCAAATGTCGAGCAGGATACAGTTGCCCTTGTTGATAATATTGGACAAGGAAAAAATGAGAAACCACAGGGCATGACCAGTAGGAAATATCTCTGGGACTATGTTACAAAGGTCAAGAACCAAACCCTCTGGAGAGCAGAGGAAGCTGAGCTGTTCAAGGACCAGTCGGCCAACTTCCACCGCTCAGAAAACGATCCCATCCAAGTTCTGGGTGAAATGAACAAAAGCCAAGTTTTGGGCTACTTTACAGGAAAGCTTTCAGATGTGTACAAAGATGCTGAGAGACGATTACAGGGCACACGAGACTTCATTCGAAACGTAGGGGTCAGTGATATGAAGTATGCGGTTTCTCAGTACGTGAACATGTCTAAAGATCTCCCACTGATTCAACAAACAAAACTTCAACCCCAATCAAACATTGTTCCTGAAAAGAAAGTCAAATTGGTGGATCTGTCGAGTACATGCCTCCATAGTGGTTCTCAAGGATTTGGCTTGAATGCAGCCTCATTATGGCCCAAGGGGTCTGTGTCCTCAATCAGAAACACTGGTACAGAGAATTCCCGTCCAGAGGAGTTTTATCAGGGTCTTGTTGAGTTTCCACCAGCTTTGACAGAACTTCGTGGTCTCTCATCCCAGCAGATCCTGGAAAAAATTCATTCTCTATCCGCTGAAAGATCAGTTAAAAAGATTCTGAGCGTCTTTTGGCTCAGAGCTGCCAGCTATGAGCAATCCAGGCCAAAACCAGTTTCCCTACTTTTGTCAGAAGAGGGTCTGACTGTTATTTCAGCTGAAAAAGACACCATCGGTCTTTTCCATCATTTCGACTTTATTGAAATCAAGGAGGTTCAGATCAGTTTGGGAGGACAGCATGTCCGTCTGATTGGGTCTAGTGAGGATTCTGTTCTGGCTGTCTTCACTTACAACCAGGAGCTTACGCAGGACTTCTGCAAGGCTCTGCTGAAGGCATCCTGTCCTCAGAAAATCTCTGAGGTGACAGAAACCCACCCATTGCTTTCAGAGGACCTGATGGCTCTGTCTTTGGATTGGACCTCCAGGGTTTCTGATATTGTCTTGGAGAGTGGTCTGAAAGTCACCTCAAGATTCAAGCGGGTTCTTGCAGACCTTTTCTACATCATTCATGGGAATATGGACGGTCCTGACAAACCCTCTCTGGCGAATATACATCCTCTGCTCTACACCAGCGTCAGGGTGACAAGCTCAGGCTGGGGTCAACCGGACTCTCTGTTCCAGTTCCTTCTAACGGACTCTCATATTGGTCTTCTTCAGGAGGATGGAGTCTTTCATCCAGTGCCACGGGGATCCAGCAAGGTTCCCGTTAAGCCCCAGTTCCAGGGACTAAAGCTGCGCAGGCGTTCAGACATCAGGTGTCTGCTTGTCAGAAGGAATGAATCCTGCTTTGGTGTAGATGTGGTCTTTACAAATCACTGTAGTCAAAGTCTGAAACGGAGGGTGGAGTTTAGGCATGGCTCAGCAGATGTTCCGTTCTCCAGCAAGCCACGCGACTCTTGGAAATTAACTTTTGGCTGCTCTTCAGAAGCTCAAATGCTCATAAACCATTTGTGCATCTAAAAGGGGACCTAACCACAGTTCATCTGCAACAGTGACTCTGGGGAGTATCAAGTGCTCCGTTAATTTTAGGATGTAAACCATTTTCAAAGACAAATTAACATTAAAATGAATTTTAAGTGTTTTTTTAAACTTATTTTAAACTTTTCTATGACATATTGAAATCATAGGGACTATATTTAAAGGGGCTTTAATGAGTGCAATAAAAATAAGCTGCTGCTGACCAAAGAAAGTTTGAAGTTTATTCATCATAATGACTTGTTTGTTACAAGGGGAGATTAATGGTGTCACTTATTCATTTCGTTACAATGGGAAATGCCAGTAAATATTGAATTTTGCACGTTATTTTTGTGTTGTTGATTTCAAACTAAATAAAGATTATTTGAATTTGAGTTGAAGCCTTTTTCCCTTTTTTATATTTGATTTTTTTATTTATTTTTATTAAGGTTTTGCATTTTCCTCTAATTTATTATCAATCTGTTTAAGTATCAATCTTTTACTGTCTGCTACTCTTTCCTTCTGTTTTCCCGTCTGGTTTTGGTGATTTCTCCGGCAGCATTTGATGTCCCGAGCGGCTGGGAAGGCCTCTGATGGCGTTAAAGAGCCCATCAAAATTAGCATTCCTCGTTACGTCCTCCGTGGTCAGGGCAAGGATGAACACTTTGAGTTTGAGGTGAAGGTGAGTCCATCGAAGCAGAGTATCACTAAATGTCTTATTTATGGCTATTGAAGAATGCTAAAACAAAAAATGCCATGGAAAGATGTTCCACCATCTCCACGGAACCTCTTTTTCTGCTGACGTCATTATGTTTAGTAGATGCAATTTGTTTCGAACGACCACCTGAGCGGATCAACTATAAAAAACATTCTCCTGTTTCACAATTCATTTGTATATTTATTCATTTTGAGCAGTTTTTTTTCTTTTTATGAATATGGATTAACGGTGTCTGTAAATCAGATTAGAGTTTGTGAATATGTAAACAAAATTAAAAAGGAATGCAGCAAAACTCATTGCATATACATCTTCACATTGGTTTTATGTTTTCTCAGCGGTGTTAATGACATTTATGGTTTTACACCAGATGCAACTGTTAGTCCTGAAACTTTTAAACATTCCTTGTCTAAAACTTCTCGAAGAGTTTCAGTGTTGGCTCAGTGCCTCAGAAAATGCTAAAAGTCTCTGAGGTCCAAAGGATCCTTTTGGATCCATAACTTAGGTAAACCAACAGTCAACGAGGTTTCCCATCGTATATCATCATTTTATCTGTTGAATTCTTAGTGATGAAATGTTCCAATCTTTATCAGATTACCGTGATGGACGACACATGGACGGTGTTCAGACGCTACTCTCGCTTCAGAGAAATGCACAAAAGCCTGAAGTCCAAATATCCTGAGGTAAGCCGCGTTTATGCTCTGTCCTACAATGCTGAGGTGTTGGTATAGGTTCTGTTTTCAATCATTTTATTTATATAGCGCCAATTCACAACACGTCATCTCAATTCACCAGATCATACAGTCAAATTGCTTCAAAGTTTTCTATCTAAGGAAAACCAGTTGATTGCATCGACTCATTGACTCGAATGCAATCCCTCACACTGCAAGCATGCTTGTAGCGAGAGTGGAGAGGAAAAACTCGCTTTTAACAGGAAGAAACCTCCTGCAGAACCAGGCTCAGTGTGAGCGGCCATCTGCCGAGGCCGACTGGGGTTCAAGGAGATAGAAACAGAGATACAAAAAGCAGCTGTAAAAGGCGGCCCCGTCCAGGAAACACACAGCCAGGCAGACGAGCACCGAGCCAACTCCCATGTCAGAGGATGAAGAGGGCACATCCAGCCAGTCAATGTCAGAGAAACAGGACTACACTGGAAAACAGGCCGATCTCGAACCTCTATAAACAAAGGTGTTGATTGCAGCAGCGCGGCTGATATTTCTCTCCATGGTGGCGTCACAGCCAAACAGATGAGGCGAAGCTACTATGAGAAAAAGCAGAGAGAGCATAACTTTAGAGATTTAACTAACAGATTCTGCAGAGTGGGAGAATAGAGATGGAATGAAGCAGGGTGATGAAATAGGGGTCCCTATGTCCTCCAGAAGTCTAAAACTGTAGCAGCATAACTATAGAGATAGCTCAGGATACCCTGAGCCACTCTAACTATAAGTTTTAAGCCTACCCTTAAAAGTAGAAAGGATGTCTGCCTCACGGAGTGAAACTGGTAGGTGGTTCCACAGGAGAGGAGCCTGATAACTAAAAGATCTGCCTCCCATTCTATTTTTAGAAATTCTAGGAACCACTAGTAAACCTGCAGATTGAGAGTGAAGTGCTCTGTTAGGAAAATAAAGGAACACCTGGCCCACCCTGGCTCCACCCTGTTTGACCTGTTGCCCTCTGGAAGGCGCTACAGGCAAATGAGGATCAGGACAAACAGACTCAAGAACAGTTTCTTCCCCCAAGCCATTGCCGCCCTTAACTCCGACCTGCACTGACGGACACTTTTCACCTGGTTTGCATTATTCCCCAAGCCATTGCCCCCCCTCAACTCCGACCTGCACTGTCGGTCACTTTACACCTGTTTTGCACATCCCCCCCCCCCCCCCCCCCCCCCCCCCCCCACAATCTGTGCCAGTACTGTTTACATTTCCTTTTCACTGTTTACATTTCCTTTTCACTGTTTACATTTCCTTTTAATATATTTATATATATTTTTTGTAACTGTTTACATTTCCTTTTCCTTTTAATATATTTATATATTTTTTATATATTTTTTATTTTTATTTTTATTTCACGGTAGCTGTTATGGAAGTCCCAAATCTCATTGTATCTGTCACAGAATATAATGACAATAAAGGCTTTTTGACTTTGACTTTTGACAATCAGATCTCTGATATCAGATGGAGCTTGGCCATTTAAGGCGTTATATGTGAGAAGGAGGATTTTAAATTCTATTGTGGATTTTCTGACAGAATATCAAATGATAATAATAAAACTCATTGTCAGATTCAGGAATGGATTTTTTAAGATATTTGTTCATGTGAAACTCATCTGTGACGCCTCTTATTTCTGTACAGCTGGCGAACCTCGTGTTTCCTCCTAAGAAGCTTTTTGGGAACCGGGATGAGCGAATGGTCTCTGAGCGTCGCAGCCACTTGGAGGTATGACCAACTTGTACAAATAAACCTGTTTGGTATGTTTGAGCCAGAAATGTAACGGAGGCTTACCCTCTTAATTTTATAAAGAACCTCGAAGTGCTGGTTATCCAGACTGTCCGCACTGAGGTTCCTTTTAGTGATTAAAGACCAACAGATAAACCTAAATATTTTATTATTGAAATGAAAAAAGGCAAATATTTTAGTCAGCTTGTCCAACATGTGTTAGCTGCTGTCCATGGTGTCCCCCTCAAGCAATTGAGCTCTGAGCTTTTCTGGAGTCTCCAATCTAGAAGTATAAGCCTGTCAAATTAAAGACTGTTCTGTCACCATAACCCTCATGACAAGAGGAAAGAGCCACAGCATAAGTCTTCAGGGCTAATTTTCTTTCTATGAGCTGCTGGAGAAACGTTATTATGCAGACTAGAGGACATGAAATGGGATCCACGCCTTTCTCCGCACGCCAGCGCTCAAAAGCTTTCCATTTTGACGCATATAGCACTGTTGTAGAGGTTGCCCATACAGCCTGAATGGTGCGCATGACTTCATGCGGAAGGTCAAGCCTCTGTAAGCGCACCCGTTCAGCGGCCAGGCCCAGAGACGCTGGCCTATTTCCGGGTAACTTCTGATCGCTCCTCCTACGTGGAGGAGCACATCCTCCCTCCATGGCAGCTGCCACGGGCGGCCTGACAGCAGCTACTGTAGTTTGGGGAACCAAGGAGCATCTGTGCGATCAGGGGGCTATTAGAATTAGCGGAAGCAGTTCTGACCAAACTCGGTGTAGTATCAGCGGGACCGGAGGGAAAGTGCAAAGGAGTTTCTGTGGCCACGGATGAGCAAAGGCATCCACTCCTAGAGGTGGATCCTCCTTCGTGCTCAGGGAGAACCACAAGCGGACA